TTAGGTATGAGAAATGGTGAATGTTGTTGTGTAAGAAAAAAAAATTCATATACGTTACATTGTATAAAGTGCTCGATATATTTTCGGATTCGATCGCTCGATCAAGTAGATAGAAAAAGGTGATGATTCGATGCATACATATATATTCAAGCAAAATCTACTCTTTCACTTACGAATACAAACACTTCAATCAACGAATATCGACATCTACTGTCTTGACTGTCAGAGTACTAACTTCAGCGTCAGTTTGGATTCTGGTCGGAGCTTCTCAAGTAATCCATCGATCGGTCAACTCATGAGAAGCACCCGAAAATATATATATTTAAACGTCATGCCTTTAAATCTATTGAAATAAATGAATTCAGATTATTAAATCTCCGTACATTTACCTTAAACCTTAAACGACACTTTGAAAATTTTAAAAATGACATAGTATTTATAATTATGATTCACAAATTTGTAGCTAACTTACAAATTTGTTAATAATAATAATAATAATAATAAAATCATTAGTCACGCTCATTCGGAGGATAATGAAAAGACGATTTTACCCTTATATATAAACTGCAGTCCCAACCCTCTTTCTCTCTCTCACTCTCAATTGCGCTCGTCTTTACGGCCCCACTCGCTTCGGACAGTGGCCACTCAGCCCCTCCTCAAAAGTCAGCGGCGGCGACTACGCCCAAAACCTTCACCAACGCCGCCGTGCCTTTCACCTCCGGTACGCATCCTCCTTTTACAAGTTTTTAATTTCGTTCTATTTTTTTTTTCCATGTACAGATCAGAAATGATCTTCGACCTGTGTGTGTTCAATTCTATGGGGTTTCTTCTCTCTCTCTCTCTCTCTCTCTCTCTCTATGCATGTTAATCAATGCCGTTGCCGGAAATTGAAAATCCCTAATTTATTTTTAAATTGTTTTAGCTTACATATGCTTAATTGTATACTTCAAGGGTAGAACATAAACCATAAATTAGAAATTAGAAAGAAAAAAATCCTGTAGAAAAAGAGAATTAGGGCTAGTACATGATTTCAATGTCTGTAATACCAAAGTAATTTCGTCGAGGTTTTCGTATTGGGAAAATTCAATTTTGGAAATTTGTTGAATATTTATTCAATCGAAAAATTCCGATTTAACTTAATTGAGGATATACTAATACGGACACGTATTCGACTTCAGGGGATCTTCTTGACATTTAAGACGAATTCGAGGTGCCGTTGTTGCTCTGAGTTTGATGGATTATGAGATTGATAGTGATTTAAATGAATTTACTAAGTAGTTATTCAAGATTTTCGTATTGGGAAAAGTCGATTTTGGAAATTGGTGGATAATTAGTCAATTGATTAATCCGATTTAACTTATTTAACGATATACTAATTCTAATTCGCACTCGTATTAAACCTCAGGGATATCTTATTGACATTTAAGCTGAATTCGAGGTCTCATTGTTGCTCGGGATTTGATGGAGTATGAGATTGATGGTGATTTAAATGGCGAGGTAGTTGGAAGTTCGACTAATTTCGAATCAAGAACAGAAGACAACGATATCGATAACGATAATCCAATTCTAGAAAGTTCTGCTGATGTGGCGTTTCATCAAGAACTAGAAATTAAGGTTGACGATGAAGATTCTTCAGACAGGGAATTGTTCCGACTAGACGAGTTGCAAGATGTCAATTGTTCAAATCCGACAGACGAACCCTATGTGGGCCAGGAGTTCGATTCCGAAGCAGAAGCGCACGCATTTTACAACTCGTACGCGACGAGGGTCGGTTTCGTAATCCGCGTGAGCAAGCTTTCTCGATCGAGGCGCGACGGGTCCGCCATTGGCCGAGCCCTTGTCTGTAATAAAGAGGGTTTCAGAATGCCAGATAAGCGCGAGAAGATAGTAAGGCAGAGAACCGAGACTAGGGTTGGTTGTAGAGCGATGGTTTTGGTTAGGAAAATAAATTCTGGTAAATGGATTGTGACGAAGTTCGTGAAGGAGCACGCGCATTCTCTTACACCCGGTAGAGGTCGTAAAGATTTAATTTACGACCAATACCCTAACGAGCATGATAAAATACGGGAGCTTTCGCAACAGCTGGCGATTGAGAAAAAGAAAGTAGCGACGTATAAACGTCATTTGGAAATGATCTTTGATCATATTGAAGAACACAATGAATCTCTTGCGAAGAAGATTCAAAGCATTGTGAACAATGTTAAAGAGATGGAATCGAACGAACAACTAGGTCAAAGACATTGTTGACGCGTATTTCGTGCGAGAGGTATGTGGAATTCTGTTGGATGGAGGAAGTTTCTTGAAGTATAATTTGATTGATTTTTATTTTTCAGAACTTTTTACCCTCCTCGGATATGAATTTGATGATTAGAAGTCGGTTTGCATCTATCCGTTTTTTTAGTCATGTGTACATTTTTCGTAGGAATAGTGGGTGCAGAATGTGTATCGGTGTGTGCTGTCAAATTGAGAGGCTATTAAATGTCTCGTGAAATTCGAAAATTTTGATAAATAATTATCAATTTTAATCAACAGGGGGAAAACACCTTTCTGTGCGACTGTGGTTTTCGATTTTGCTTAGTGAATCGGTTATTTTTTCGAACAAATTCATTGGAATGTGATATTATTTTGCATGGAATTCTACCGGCTCTTTTGCTTAATGATCTAATGTATATTTTTTTATCATCGGAGTTTTGAATTATTCATTCGCTCATTTTTCTATTATTTGGCAACTAATCCATTTTCCGGCACCTGAATATATATAGGGTAAATTACGGCCACTGTAATGTCGAATTACGAAAAACCCTATAATGTGTGGGTAATTACAATCACCAACCCTATAACGTGTGGGTAATTACAATCACCCCTCTTCGTCTTTCTGATGTCAAATTTAGTGGAATCTTTTAGATTATGTGGAATATTCTCTAATTTGCACTCCGTTTTATTGTATTCGAGCTCCACATTTTGAATTTGAAAGAAGATGATCATAAGATGTGTCTCTTGGCTTGTAAATATCAGATTGTGGTGCATCAAAATTGCATTTTCACATAAAACGTGTACAAACTAGATAATATTCCACAAAATTTAGAAGATTATGTTGAACTTGACACCATAAAGAGAATATTCCATAAAATTTAGAAAATTATGTTGAACTTGACACCATAAAGTGTGTAAGAAGATTCATAGTTGATGGAGTGGTTGTAATTACCCAAACATAAGATTTTTTTTCGTAATTTGATCTGACTTCAGGGAGTGGTCGTAATTTACCATATATATATATATATGAAGTGAAATAAGATTTTCCATGTAAAAAAAAATGATAATTATACAAATTCAGCATATAATTTAAATGAAAATTAACCCTATATATATTCCATCTTACAAGTTACAAAGCATATTGAATGTTTCATCATCAACAACAATTCCATCACTCTTCATCATCTCCAAAACCCAAGATGCATCTCTCCCAACTCTCACACTTGCCCTAATCAAAGCATGGTACATTTGTCTATTTACAGGAATCACTGTCCTAAGTGAACAAACAAAAGCCTCCACTTCTTCAATCCCACAATTATCCCCAATCCAATGTAATAACCTAGTCACCAAACCGGGTTTCGGCATCCACTTCAACTTATCTCCCTTCACCGCCAAAGCTTCCTTCATACACTCAAACGCCTTCTCCATGTTACCGTTATCCACATACCCCGAAGCGACAATCGACCAGCTATTCGGAATCGGCTTCTTTCCCCTTTCCACGATATTCCGAAGCATCAATTCCGATTTCTCGACTCGACCCTTTTGGCAATACCCGATAAGGAGTACGTTCGGCACTCGAAAATCGTACGTATGGCAGCAAGAATCCCATTCCGCTAGCACTTCCTCAGCCGTTTCGAACTCTTCGATCTTCACCAAAGAACCCAAAATCGTAATATAGTCCCTATTAATTTGCTTCTTACAAACTACTTTCTGCAAAGCCCACAATCTCATCATCTCGTTTTTATCTCCAATATGAGCGTAAAGTGAGATTAAGTGATTATAACCAATAGCATCCTTTTCAAGCTTTTGTTCCAACTTCTTCATACAAGTCAACGCTTTCTCCTTCTCGTTTCCCTTCACGAAAAAATAGGCCGCTATTGAACACGTGGCCCAATCAAGAGACAAGCCCCCGTTTTCTAACTCAACTTCTTCTAGAAGCTTCTCCATGCCAATAAGATCAGATCTTTCGCCAAACGAGCTTATGCACACTCTGTAAGTGAAGTTGTTGGGGGCAACACCGTAATTCCTCATCTCCGAGAGAATCTCGGGGATTTTCTCGAGTTGACCGACTTTCTTGTAGAGTACCATGAGATTGTTGTAAGTGAGAGACGTTCCGCCGTACCCCATTTCTTTCATTGTCTGTATGTGGACAAGGGCTTTCGATAAGAGAGAACTTCTTACGTAACAGCTCAATAGAGCACCGTAGGTCTTTTCGTTTTTGTCTTCTTTGGGTAAATTACCAAAGTAGCCCTCGGCAGCTTCCAATCCGTGGACGACACCAACTAGATCCAAATGCACTGCTTTATCACTCGGCGACAATTTAAAGGAACCGTTACGACTAACCCACTCGGATATCTGCAATAAGCGAGGTTTAGTTACTAAATGCGGTGGGAAAATTGTAGTTTTGGTCATCTATGTTGGCATATTTAGGAATTTAGTCCTCTAACTTGTCATGTTTCAGTATTACATGCAAGAACTTTGCAAATATAGTATTTTCAGTCCTATTTTGCATGATTCTTAATTTTAAGACGCGAAAAATAAACTTGACGCATTTTACTTATATGGACGCTTGGAAATTTACAAAATTCGACATCTAACTTACCATTCGTAGAACTTCAATTACGTGAGACGACTCATCTATAAATCAAATTAGAGGAGCATTTATAATTTTCAAGTGTCCATATAAATAAATTTCTACGAGTTTGCTAGGTACATCATCAAACGACGGCTAAAATTCAAAGTTCGAGTGAAATAGGACTAAAACTACTAATTTTGCATAATTATTGAATGTAAAATAGAAATATGACAACTTATAGGACTAAATCCTAAAGAGACCAACATATAATAAGACCAAAATTACAATTTTCCCCAACACATATCACCATTTCCAATTTCTCAAAGAAATTAAAGAAAAAAAAATTGAAAAGTTGAAAAAAAATAAAAAACCTGAAGAGCCTGAGAAAAGCGTTTGCGGCTACGGAGATCCCGAATAATCCGCTGGAACTCGAGGGGGTTGATCTCTCTGCCTTCGGAGACCCACTGATCGAGCACCAAAACGACGTCGTAATCCCGCCGGACGGGGCTGATTCTGGAGAACAAATTTCTACTCCGGGAAGCTGAGTACTTCGACGCATTTCCATTGGGAACAGCAGCAGCAGCGGCGGCGGTTGCGGCTATGGTGCAAGAGAAGGCTCTTCTAACGGCACCGAGGTATCTAGAATTCAATCGCTGCAGTAAATTTGATCTGTTTAAGGATGATGCAAACATTGCAGAACTGCTGATTGCGGTAGATTGTGCGTATAGTTTGGACATTTGATTTGGAAATTTGAGGGTTAGGTTTTGGGGATTTTTTACCTAGGGTTTTATTAGGGTTTTAGAGTGACGACGGTGGCGCGGGATTCATCTCTCAACCTTTTTTATCTCTTGCAATGAAGAAATTGTTGTAATAAAAGGATTAATTTAATATAATTGAAATATTAATTGGTAGAAGCATCAAAATGGATCATGAAAAAGTATAATTTTATCAATTAACAATTTTGTTAAATGAAATACTTTGTAGCCAATTCACATGTAATAAGAGAATCTAACGTATTTAATACAATAAGTAATCTAAAGAACCAAACATATTAATTAGTTAATAAGTCGCGAATTAATTCAATTTAATTTAGTTGGTATTTGCAAATGCTTTTAGAAATAGATTATGAGTTTTTTTCATGTTTATAATCTGTTTTTAGGTATTTGCAAAACAAACTTTTGATTTTGCTTCTCTTAAAATAAGCTGCTTTAAGCTATAATTTTAAAAGCACCCATGTACCTGTTTTTTCTATTTTAGTTGATTTTCCAGCTAATTTGCAAACGCCCTCAACTTTTAGAAACAATCACTTAATTCCAACTTAACTCACAATTACTAACTTCTACTTTTATATAAGCTTTTGCAAACACCACCTTAGGTGGTATTTGCAAAAGCTTTTTTCAAAGCAGAAGTAGGTGATTGTGAGTTAAGTTGGAATTAAGTGATTGTTTCTAAAAGTTAGGGGTGTTTGCAAATTAGTTGGAAATCAACCAAAATAGAGAAAACAAGTACATGGGTACTTTTAAAATTATAACTTAAAACAGATTATTATGAGAGTAGCAAAAGCAAAAGCTTATTTTGCAAACACCTAAAAACAGATTATCTCAAAAAAAAAAACTGATAATCTATTTCTAAAAGCATTTGCAGACACCACCTTGATCCAATATAGGTAAGCAGGCTAATTTATAAATTGATATGTTTGAAAAATCACTGCAAATAGTTCATAGTTCAACAAAGTAAAAGTAGAAATATTATTGCAATAAATAATTCCGAGACCAATTCCCCCGTCATATCGAAGATACACACGGAACAAAACGAAAAATCGTTCCAACAAGTGTTTCGCAATCAAGAATGTCATTTGAGGAAAACCTCATCCCTTCAGAATACATTGTTTCACAATAAAATCACTTTATCGAAAACTACATATATATGTATATATACACACACACATACACTCCACGGTCGACTGTTTTCCAACACGACACAGCTATACAACAACGAAACGGGAACAAAAAAAGGTTAAAACAGGACAAGGCAAAGAGCAATGCACCAGAAGAGAAAGATGGATACTCTGTTCAGCGATATCTCCGCCTCGATTTCTTGCATTCTCGATCTCGGGCTAGCATTTCCCGAAAATTGGTAAGAATTCGTATACCGATAAGGAAACATATTTGCCTCGCCAAACATTCCAGCAAACACTATTTCGCCGACCATGTTAATTGTCGGGCTGACGAAACTGGTTGTTGTAGGGCTTCCAATCATTGGTGGTGTAATCGAATTATAATTAGTGAGTTGATTTTCGGGCTGAAACGGGCTTCGATTATTTTGCTGATTAGAATTGGATGAAATAGATGTTGCAGCAGAGGCGAGAAGGGCGTTCAGACCAAGCGCCGACGGTCTAGGAGGAATGATCAAATCCAATGGGGGTTTCTTGATTTCAGACAGAGATTGTGATCTACCTCGACCGTAGAGAGGAACGAGTGAGGAATTGGAGATGTAAGCTTTACAGACAGGGCATCTAGGTTGCTCTTCGGATTCGAACGAGGAGCTTTCAACATCGATCCATTTGTAGATGCACGGCCAACAGTATAAGTGGCCGCAAAGTGTTACCACAGGCTCGTGGCACGAGTCTAGACAAATGTTGCAATCGAAGCATCCGTTTAGATTTTCAAGAACTGTAGCAGATTGTGACATGGAATTCCATTTCTGTTTATGCGAGTGATTTCCCTCGGATACGGAATGTGTGGAACGGGCATCGAATTCTTGCGGAAAAGCCATGATAACTGCATAGGGAGAGGCAACGATTCAAAACACATCAAAGGATAGCACAGCTTATTCAAGACGGTAACCGTAGGAAAAAATTGAAGGCGTAAATTTGGCAGTCGGCTCATTCTATAAATCTCTAGCCGAAGTGTTGATCCGCCACTAGAAATAATATTCAACCAAAAAGAAAAAAAAAACCCAGAGGAAACGAGATAGTTCCTTTGTCTATTAAAGATTCCTTAGTCGATGCTAATTATTACACTTAACAGAAAGATAGTTCCAATAGCTTTGGTTGAATCAGAGGCTACAATTGATTGCCATGGAGAAATTTTATATAAGTGGGACGAACAGAAATGAAATACTCGAGGCTGCCCTCACATATAAACCTCGACAAGCTATTCGATTCATGCAAATAAATTCCCCACAAAACCCCCCTCCTCTCCCATGCCGAAAAGTAACAATCTTCATTTAATTTTCTGTTTTTTTTTTCCCCTAATAATGAAGCTTTCGAGCTCGGGTTTTATCATAGGTGAAAATACATAAAATCTATATATTTCAATTTTCAAAATTCAAAACTTTTCTACATGTCTCCAAACAAATTAGACAATCAAACAAATAAAAAAAATAAAATTAAAACCATCTCCGAATATTTACCGGATTTTAATTGATAAACACCTTATCACCCAGAAAGAGCATAAAAGAAAAATCAAATGCATAAATGAAACCAAAAACACAGCTTTAATTGATCATAAACAAGCTAACAAAACAATCCCACTTTCCCCTTTTTTTTTCATCAATTCGAAACAATCAGACCCCAAAAGATGACCTAAAACAGAAACACCACAAAATTGAAATGCCTGAAATCTTAAAAACAACGTATAGAAACACCAGAAAGGCCAATCTAGAAGAAGCAAGCACCAGAATCCACGGCGAAAATGGAAAAATAAATAAATAAATAAATAAAATAAAATAAAAAATCAAATGAGCTCACGAAACATTGCCGATATGCGAAAAACGAGAGCGCACCTGAACCAGAAGGAGAATCTAGAGAGAGAGAAGATGAAATGAGTTTTGTAGAGAGAGAAAGTGAAGTTTGGAGGAAATGGGAAATGAATGAAGAAATTAGAAATAGAGGGACGAATTTAGCAATATATGTAAGCTGGGGGAGTATGAGGTGTACGTGCGCCGCGTAGCAGGTGATTAAAACCGGAGGAGCGTGGTATTTAGCGTCGATGTCTCCACTCCATTTAATAAATTGTTATTATCCATTAATGGAAAAAAGTAAATAAAAATTACTATATGAGTTTATTGCATATGTTATATGGAAGTTGGTAATAAAGAGAAAAAAGAAATCATGTTGTTAATACTAACGAAATTTATTATTCATTTCGTTCCATAATATCTGTCACTTTTGAGAAAAAAAAAATGTTTTATATTATCTGTCATTTTAAATTTTCGATACTGCATTAGTTACTTAATTTCCAATTTATACCCTTATTAACTCTTTTCAAGATCTTTGTAAAACTCATTTATCTCTCTTATTAATTAGAAGATAAGGTCATTTTAGTCCAACGACATACATCTTCATAAAATCAAGGCACATTTGATGAATTTTTTAACCATTCTGCAAAGCTAAAAAAGGGCAATTAAAAGTGAATGGATGGAGTATATGGTACATTTTGTTGTAGCACACAAACTACAATGGTGAGTTTTTAGGGTTTGTTTGATAAATAAAAGAAATTTTGAATACGGATATGTAATCACTAGCGGAGTCAAGATTCAAACTCTGCAAGATCTAATGCATTAAAAAAAACTATGAGAGAGGGGTCGATAATGCCATTATACCCAATTTTTTTAAATCTTATATACAATAATAGGAATTTGAGAAATTTTAGAGAGGCCGTGACCCTATGCTGACTCCGCCATTGGACATTAACTGTTAATATTAATAGCACATGGAATTTTTAATATTTAAATAAAAACAGGGGTGTTGAGGTAATAATCCTAAATTATATTTATGCAATAGATGCAAATATTATTTATTTTTATTCTTTTGTAGATCTATCTATGTATTCTTAGTCCTTTGAAGTACTGCACAAAAAGAATTAAAAAGTAATAATTCACAACTTTTATAAATAGCCAATTGTCTTAAATTTAAGGTCAAATTAGGAGGAAAAAAAATCCTTCTTTTTTTTTTTGAGTAAAAAAAAAAAAAAAAATCCTTCTTGTTAACTATGTATTTGTTTATAGAAAAAACCCCTCATTTAGTAGGTACATTATAATGATTGGATGTGTAAAACCAATACATAGTTGAGTATGTAATTACCCAAACATAAGGAATTTTTGTAATTTAATCTTACATTAGGGAGTTGGCCATAATTATTTAACTCTAATAGCTTACTTATCTCTCTCTCTCAATCTTTTGTAAATAACAAGTGGAGATGTTGACATATTAAACAATGCTCAATAGTCAATCCTACAACGACAGTCAAAGGGAATTATCAGAGTCAGTGAACTAATGGCTAATTTGATAATAGGGTAAGTTACAACCATCCACTAAGGTATGATCAAATTACAAAACCTCCCATCTTGTTTGGATAATTACAATCATCCCCTCAACTCCTCAAATTTAGTGGAATCTTCGAGATTATATAGAATATTATCACTTTTGTACCCGTTTTATCCCATTCGAACTCTACATTTTGAAGCAAGATGATCATAATAAGTGTTTTTTGACTTGTATATATCAGATTGTGGTGCATCAGAAACTGTATTTCTACACAAAAAGAGAACAAACTAGAGCACATTCCACGAAATCTTGATGATTATGTTGAACTTGACACCATAAGGGTGGAGGTGTAAGAAAAAAAATCATAGTTGAGGGGGATAGATGTAATTATCCAAACAAGAGGGTTTTTTTTTGTAAATTAACCATACCTTAGGGGGTGTTTGTAATTTACCCTTTGATAATAACTCAAACAATCAAACAAACAATAATGAAATTTTTGGTCAATGTTGGACAGAAGAAAAGTCATTGTTGGAAAATTCTGCATAATTTTAAATCCATAATAATGAAGCTATTAAGCTAGTCTATTAATTAGATTTCAAATCTTTCAACTATGTTATTATAATTTATCTTTTTGATTCATCGTGGATTCAACATACTATAACTAATAGCTTCTTATAATATCAAATAATGAATAAAAACTCCTTTTGTTTAAGTAATTATAACTACCCCTCAACAAAGTATTTTTTACGAAAAAAAAAATCATTTATTCAGTAGGTGAATTTGAAACTGTAAGGATGGACGTATTAGACAATACAAAGTTGAAGGGTATAATTATAATTATTCAAAAATGAAATATTTTTTTCGTAATTTAATCTTATACCTTAAAGGAGAGTGACCGCAATTTGCCAAACTTTTACTACAAACCATTTCCTCAAGTTCAAATACTTCAATCCAATTCAACCCGTCAAATCTATTCATTTTGTAACGGGTAAATAGCACTTACTCCCCCAATGATTTGAACTTTGTGCACATGACCCTCTCTACTTTCAATATAACACATAACCCCCTTGTACTTTCAAAAAAATTATCTTCCTAATGAGCATGATTATTTGCCAAGTGGAATATCATAGAAGGGCTTAACTAGGTTCTTATATTTAAAGTACAAGGGGGTTATGTGCAAATAATTGAAACTACAGGGAGTTGTGTGCTTATATTGAAAAGTACAACGAGCTCATGTGCACAAAGTTCAAACTACACGAGGGTTAAATAATGCTATTTACCCTTGAATTTATGTGTATATACTCTTGTACTATTTAATATTTATAAGTTGATTATTAAAGATTGTTTATAGAATATCCAAAATACCTCTAAGACTAGCTATTATGATTAATTGAACAAACCTAAACTCCAAACATTTGACAAATCTTGATTATACTATCTATCAAGCCTAATCCTAGCTAATCCCAATTTTGCAAATATTGAAAGAGAAAGAACATATGCAAACACAGCCAATGCAAAGAGGAATTTCAGAAGTATGAATAATTAATGACTAACATAATCTTGGAGAAAACATAGATTACAGCAGCAACATCAACTATACACGAGCTTATACGGTTTATTTAGCGAGCATAAATAAAAAGACGGGGGTATTACGTTTCATGGGAGAGAACATATTATATAATGTATACACTCACCATTTCTACAAGAATTTCTCTATGCAGGTCGTCAAAGTCGATTCCGGAACCGCGCCGATCACTGCATCTTTCTTCTCTCCGTTCTTGAATATTATGACGGTTGGAATACTTCGGATCCCGTACTGCGTTGCAATTGAAGGGCTCTCATCGGTGTTGACCTTGTAGCACTTGAGCTTCCCGGAATATTCCTTTGCCAGCTTGTCAATGACGGGGTGGATCATGCGGCAGGGCCCACACCACGGTGCCCAAAATTCGACCAGGACGGGTAGATCAGCATCGAGCACGAGAGTCTGCCAGTTTGAATCGGTAACGCCTGCCACTGCAGTGTGTTTTTTTTAGGAACTAATGTTGAGATTGATTTATAAAATAAATAAACAGAAACAATATTCATAATAATATTCATTGGAAAATTTCCTGGTCACTATCATTGTACACAAAATACGTTACGCATGTAACGATTACTTAAACATGGACACATAAATTGTGAGGACCAACACCAGTTAAAGATTAACTGAATATAGTCGATTTAAATAAGTAAAGGAAAACGAGAATTTGGGAAAAATTGAGCTAGAACAAATGTCGGTCAGATTCCAACATTTCATGAGAAGATGATCAGGCAAAGGGCCATATCTGGATTAGGTGGTGTTTGCAAAAGCTTTTAAAAAAAAGCAGAAGTTGGTGATTATGGTGGTGTTTGCAAAAGCTTTTTGAAAGTGATTATGAGCTTTTTTTTGCTCATAATCTGTTTTCAGGTGTTTGCAAAATCAATTTTTGCTTTTGCTTCTCTAATAATCTGCTTTAAGCTATTTTTTTAAAAGCACCCCTAACCCTGCTTTTTCTATTTAAGTTCATTTTCCAGAATAATTGCAAACACCCCCAACTTTTAGAAATAAGCACTTAAAACTGGCTTAACGCACAATCACTAACTTCTGCTTTTAAATAATCATTTGCAAACACCACCTATGAGCTAAGTTAATATTAAGTGCTTATTTTCTAAAAGTTTGGGGTGTTAGCAAATTCCATGAAAAATAAGCTTTCAGCAACTTATTTTAAGAGAAGTTGCTCCAAGGGAGCTTCTTTTTTAGCTTAAAGCAACTTATTTTAAGAGTATTTTAAGAGAAGTAGAAGAAAAAGCTAGTATTGCAAGCACTTCAAAAGTGATTATGAGCCAAAAAAAAGCTCAGAATCACTTTTCAAAAGCTTTTGCAAACACCACCATCATATTCATAAACCATCATTGCTTAATCGTTTCAATCGTCTCGATTCTACAATATGATGTTCATCAATTTGTGTACCAGACTACCAGGAAGTAATTGTAACGATAACTAAAACTTCGAAGACAGACTTAATTCACTAAACTAATCTCATACATTTATCGAAGAAAAAAAAAACTCGCAGTCAGAAAACAAAAAAAGAAAATCTTAATCTACATAACGAAATAATTTATTATGTCACCAATTTCAAAGAATATCAAAAAACATACAGAAAAAATATTTTTAAAAAATATCAACTTTTTTTCTGAAGATATTAAAACCACTTCAATTTTTCCTGACATGAGCGATTACAGGTTTCAATTGGGAATAAATATCATACACAGCAAGAAATTCAATTAAAAAAATTGAATTGAACACCACAGATTTTCAATTTCCAGAGAATTCAAACCTTGGACAGCTTCCTGCGCCTCGCAGACGATTGAACCACCACGGCGAGCGAATTTCAAATTCGACCTAAGTTTGGCGGAGGAGCGAGTCGGCTGGATCTTGAGTCCCCTGAACTCGGAGAATCGGACGGAGCTGGATCCGGCGCCGGCGGCGGAAGAGGCGGACGGGAAAGCGGAGGCGCGTGGGACAACTAGGGTTTCTAGCAAACCAGCCATGGCGAATTGAATTGAATATAGAATAGAATAGAATGAAGAAAGAAAGGGGAAAAAAAAAATTAAGTAATATCAACACAGAGTGAGAGTGTATTGTGGATAAATGGGTGAAGAGAGTGGTGGAGTAAGGTTTGTTTGGTTCTGAGTAATTTGTTTTTTTTTTGGATGATGAAATATAATATGTATGGACGAGGAATAGTTTCATTATGGATTACGTGGGCCCGGATACTACTTGATTGGGCCTTTATTTTTTGGGTTCGGGCCTGGGCTCAATTTCTGTTGGACTATTATAGGTTTTTTTTTGGTAAATTACGGATACGCATGAGACAATGTCGAATTACAAAAAAAACCCTTCTTGTTTGAATAATTACAACCACCATCTCGATATGAAGCTTTTTACACGTCCACCCTTGCGGTGTCAAATTTAGTGGAATCTTCTAGGTTATTAGTGGAATATTCTCCAATTTGTATCCGTTTTACCCATTTGAACTCCACATTTTGTAACAAGATGATCATAAGATGTGTCTCTTGGCTTTTAAATATCAGATTGTGGTGCATTTGAACTGCATTTTGGCACAAAAGGAGTACAAATTAGAGAACGTTTACATACTCTAGAAGATTCTGATGAATTTGACACCGCAAGAATAGACGTGTAAGAAAATTCATAGTTGAGGGCTGATTATAATTATCCAAACATCATAGATTTTTTTCGTAATTTAACCTGACCTAGGGATAGCTGTAATTTAAACTTTTCTTTTTATAAATACTGTTACAGGTTCTTTATTTATTCCATGCTATATATTAAACTTAAAAAAAACTCAACTTAGATCTTAACGTATTACAGTAGAACCTCGATAAATTAATACCCGATAAATTAATAACCTCGCTTAAATAATAAATTTTCCCGGTCCCGATTCGGGGACAACGTGCTAAATTAATAATTCGCTAAATTTATAAGATAATTCACATTCCGAAATTTTAAGAAGCCCCATATAATCTATATAATATATAAAAGTTGAATTGCATAGCTAATTGATTGACATTTGGCAATTTCAATTGATGACATGTTTTCAATTTCATCCCAAGTGGCGAATTGGTTGGTCGAAATAAATCATCAAAAAACATGTCATCATTTTCCAAAATTAAAGATAGTTAAATATGTTTAATTATTTTATTAATATATTTATATCCTACCATATATAAAATGCTCTAAATATATCAACTTTTTTGGAAACCCTAAATAAATTTATTTTTGAATTTAATTTTATAAATAATTTAATTTTAATTTAGTTAAATTCGATTTAAAATCTTCTCTTATTATAATTGGATGATTGGTGGTGTTACGATTTAATTTTAATTCATAAACTTTGATTTATATTAAAACAAATATTGTAGAATAAATTATTTGATATTATACATTTTACATGAACATGACTAGAGAATATGTATTTTTTTTACTAATTTACTATTATATATTAATATTATCTGTAAAAAAAGATAGATATGTGTTTGAATTTACTATCTTGCGAAAATTGACGCCATTTGTTATGCCATGTGTAGAGTAATGTACTCCCACTTATTTATCATATTGAAAATTATACTACATGAATTTCATGTTATTATTTAAATAATTATTTTTTTCTTCACTGAAGAATCCAGTGACAATAAATTTTACGATTGATTTAACTTTTTAAATTATATACTAATTAAAATACGAATTTTATCATGATTATACTAATAAATTGAATGACCTAAGCTAAGTTTAATCAATTGATAAAAAAACGAATTGATTTTATATATTTCAAAATATAATAATTCTAAATCTTTGGTATTAAATTCATTTTTATTTAATGGCTAACATTAATAATATCAATTGTTTTGTTTAAAATGTATAATGATCGTATATACTATATATTGTATTCCACTAATAAGGATTTCATTATGACTCTAATAAATATAATTATGGAAATATCTAGATCAACACTAACCCAAAAGTATCAAAATGAGTTTGCAAATATTTATGTGCTATTTAATATTTTATTTTGATATTTATATAAATGTATTTGCTCCAACCATAGGTATTAAATCGTTGTTAATTAAATATATCTAATTGCCACATGTTATTTTCTAAATGGACACTGAGGTGGTTGAATTCATAACTCATGTTTGATATTTTATTCACCATGATTGCATAATGTATTTTTACATTTGAAAGATGAAATATCAAAATACCTCATTTCATAAATCTAATGGAATTAAAAATTATTATTTTGGAGAATAAAAATGGTGGTTAAATGTTTTGATAGCTCATTTAATAATCTCACTCGAAGTGCTCTTGCCGTATATAGTTTATATAAATAATTTACCTAATGTTTGTTTCCCTCTTACATCAACCGCTTATGGTATGATTTTTGAAGGAATTTTTTTATTACGTGAAATATTCCAATAATGCTTATTATACCCTGCACACACGACATTTCTTTATGGTACTTTTTAAATACAAAAATTACCCTCAGGTGAACTTTACACGAAATATTTATTCTTCTTAAATAACACTTTCACAATTTTGTATTATTACCATGACCACCCCTGAGGGTAATTTTTAAGTTTAAAAAGTATGATAAAAGAAATGTCCCGTCTGCAAGGGTAGACTCCATATTTTTTGGGATATTATATAGAATAAAAAAGATTCCGTACAAAAATCACACCATAAGGGGGTTGTGTAAGACATAGACAAACATAAGGGGAATTTTAGTAATCACCGATAAGTGGGGGTGTTTTCTGTAATTTAGTCTAAGTTCAGGAGGATTTTCATAATTTATCTTATTAACAATGATTATTGTTCTTTTACGTCTTAATGTTTGCTTATACCCTTATAATATTTTATATAATTTTAATGTCAATTTGATAATATAATTAAATATTAATTTCTAATATATTTAATATGTGTTTTTTTATGGTTCAACTACCACACATAAGAAATTTGATATAAATGTTCGAGATTGAATAGAATTATTTTTTTTATACTAAATAATAGATCATTGCAAAAACAATTGTTGCAAAATTAAATTTTTTGATTATAATTATAATTATAATTATAATTATAATTCTTTGAATTAGTATTAGTATTAATACTAGAAATAGGATTCAAATTGTAATTATGATTAATATAATATTAGGATTATAATTAATATTAGTATTAGAATTATAATTAAGATTATGATTATGCTTAGTACGATAATTAGTGACATGTATTAGTATTAGAATTATGATTAGCATTAAGTTTGGGATTAGAATTATAATTAAGATTAGAATTAGAATTAACATTAGCATTAGCATTAACATTAGTATTATTAGTATTAAAATTATTAGGCTTATGATTAGTGTTAGGAATAGGATTATGATTAGGATTAGGATTAGAACTATGATCAGTGTTATGAATAGAATTAGGAATACGATAAGGATTTGGATAATATTAGAATTACAATCATAATTAGCATTAGCATAATAATTAGCATATCTAGATTACATTAGCATCAAAATTACTATTAGCCAAGGTTCTAAAAGGCGGTTATCGGGTACGTGGCGGTTAGGGACCGCCACACGATAAATCGGCGCGGCGGTGAGTTATCGGAGATAAATCGGAAATATATCAGTTTTTAAATTTAGTGTAATATATTTCTAAATATTATTTGTAAATACTCAAAATATATATAAAAGAATATTTAAACATAATTATATCCTATCATTCATATGTTATTATATAATTCTAATTACTCAATAAATAACAAAAATTTAAAAATAATAAGATCATAATATAATAAAAGATTCTTACGAAATACAAATACTACGCAAGTCTTTCGCATCAACAATTAAAATAAACACAACAAACCATAAATTACGGGGTAGTACTTGGTTTGGTTTTGGAAGTTGAAAGAATTGGAGAAAAACAAAAAATCAAAACATATTTTCATTTTAATTTAAATTAAAAAAAAAAAAAAAAAAAACCGATTTGTTGACCGATATATCGGTTTGACCCGCCAAAAAACCGCCGCAAACCGCCTCGCTGTAAAAAACCGATATTCCAAACCGCCTCAACAAAATCGTAAAGGTTTATAACCGATACCGATATATCGGCCGATATATCGACCGCCACGACCGCTATTTAGAACACTGCTATTAGCATTAACATTAACAATATTAACATATTAGTATTAGTAATAGTATTAATAATAGTATTAGTAGTAATATTAGTATTAGTAATAGTATTAGTATTGGTATTAGTATTAGTATTAGTATTAGTATTAGTATTAGTATTAGTATTAGTATTAGTACAAATATTAGTAGTAACATAAGTATATGTATCAATATTATTATTGGTATCAGTATAAGTATCAGTATCAGTATCAGTACCACAATATCTATCAGTACCAGTATCAGTATCATTATTAGTATCGGTATCAGTATCAGTATCAATATCAGTATCAGTATCAGTATCAGTATATGTATCAGTATCGGTATCGGTATCGGTATCGGTATCGATATCAGTATCAATCTATATAATATATAAAAGTTGAATTGCATAGCTAATTGATTGACATTTGGCAATTTCAATTGATGACATGTCTTCAATTTCATCCCAAGTGGCGAATTGGTTGGTCGAAATAAATCATCAAAAAACATGTCATCATTTTCCAAAATTAAAGATAGTTAAATATGTTTAATTATTTTATTAATATATTTATATCCTACCATATATAAAATGCTCTAAATATATCAACTTTTTTGGAAACCCTAAATAAATTTATTTTTGAATTTAATTTTATAAATAATTTAATTTTAATTTAGTTAAATTCGATTTAAAATCTTCTCTTATTATAATTGGATGATTGGTGGTGTTACGATTTAATTTTAATTCATAAACTTTGATTTATATTAAAACAAATATTGTAGAATAAATTATTTGATATTATACATTTTACATGAACATGACTAGAGAATATGTATTTTTTTTACTAATTTACTATTATATATTAATATTATCTGTAAAAAAAGATAGATATGTGTTTGAATTTACTATCTTGCGAAAATTGACGCCATTTGTTATGCCATGTGTAGAGTAATGTACTCCCACTTATTTATCATATTGAAAATTATACTACATGAATTTCATGTTATTATTTAAATAATTATTTTTTTCTTCACTGAAGAATCCAGTGACAATAAATTTTACGATTGATTTAACTTTTTAAATTATATACTAATTAAAATACAAATTTTATCATGATTATACTAATAAATTGAATGACCTAAGCTAAGTTTAATCAATTGATAAAAAAACGAATTGATTTTATATATTTCAAAATATAATAATTCTAAATCTTTGGTATTAAATTCATTTTTATTTAATGGCTAACATTAATAATATCAATTGTTTTGTTTAAAATGTATAATGATCGTATATACTATATATTGTATTCCACTAATAAGGATTTCATTATGACTCTAATAAATATAATTATGGAAATATCTAGATCAACACTAACCCAAAAGTATCAAAATGAGTTTGCAAATATTTATGTGCTATTTAATATTTTATTGTGATATTTTATATAAATGTATTTGCTCCAACCATAGGTATTAAATCGTTGTTAATTAAATATATCTAATTGCCACATGTTATTTTCTAAATGGACACTGAGGTGGTTGAATTCATAACTCATGTTTGATATTTTATTCACCATGATTGCATAATGTATTTTTACATTTGAAAGATGAAATATCAAAATACCTCATTTCATAAATCTAATGGAATTAAAAATTATTATTTTGGAGAATAAAAATGGTGGTTAAATGTTTTGATAGCTCATTTAATAATCTCACTCGAAGTGCTCTTGCCGTATATAGTTTATATAAATAATTTACCTAATGTTTGTTTCCCTCTTACATCAACCGCTTATGGTATGATTTTTGAAGGAATTTTTTTATTACGTGAAATATTCCAATAATGCTTATTATACCCTGCACACACGACATTTCTTTATGGTACTTTTTAAATACAAAAATTACCCTCAGGTGAACTTTACACGAAATATTTATTCTTCTTAAATAACACTTTCACAATTTTGTATTATTACCATGACCACCCCTGAGGGTAATTTTTAAGTTTAAAAAGTATGATAAAAGAAATGTCCCGTCTGCAAGGGTAGACTCCATATTTTTTGGGATATTATATAGAATAAAAAAGATTCCGTACAAAAATCACACCATAAGGGGGTTGTGTAAGACATAGACAAACATAAGGGGAATTTTAGTAATCACCGATAAGTGGGGGTGTTTTCTGTAATTTAGTCTAAGTTCAGGAGGATTTTCATAATTTATCTTATTAACAATGATTATTGTTCTTTTACGTCTTAATGTTTGCTTATACCCTTATAATATTTTATATAATTTTAATGTCAATTTGATAATATAATTAAATATTAATTTCTAATATATTTAATATGTGTTTTTTTATGGTTCAACTACCACACATAAGAAATTTGATATAAATGTTCGAGATTGAATAGAATTATTTTTTTTATACTAAATAATAGATCATTGCAAAAACAATTGTTGCAAAATTAAAATTGGGAGGATAAGTATAATTATAATTATAATTATAATTCTTTGAATTAGTATTAGTATTAATACTAGAAATAGGATTCAAATTGTAATTATGATTAATATAATATTAGGATTATAATTAATATTAGTATTAGAATTATAATTAAGATTATGATTATGCTTAGTACGATAATTAGTGACATGTATTAGTATTAGAATTATGATTAGCATTAAGTTTGGGATTAGAATTATAATTAAGATTAGAATTAGAATTAACATTAGCATTAGCATTAACATTAGTATTATTAGTATTAAAATTATTAGGCTTATGATTAGTGTTAAGAATAGGATTATGATTAGGATTAGGATTAGAACTATGATCAGTGTTATGAATAGAATTAGGAATACGATAAGGATTTGGATAATATTAGAATTACAATCATAATTAGCATTAGCATAATAATTAGCATATCTAGATTACATTAGCATCAAAATTACTATTAGCCAAGGTTCTAAAAGGCGGTTATCGGGTACGTGGCGGTTAGGGACCGCCACACGATAAATCGGCGCGGCGGTGAGTTATCGGAGATAAATCGGAAATATATCAGTTTTTAAATTTAGTGTAATATATTTCTAAATATTATTTGTAAATACTCAAAATATATATAAAAGAATATTTAAACATAATTATATCCTATCATTCATATGTTATTATATAATTCTAATTACTCAATAAATAACAAAAATTTAAAAATAATAAGATCATAATATAATAAAAGATTCTTACGAAATACAAATACTACGCAAGTCTTTCGCATCAACAATTAAAATAAACACAACAAACCATAAATTACGGGGTAGTACTTGGTTTGGTTTTGGAAGTTGAAAGAATTGGAGAAAAACAAAAAATCAAAACATATTTTCATTTTAATTTAAATTAAAAAAAAAAAAAAAAAACCGATTTGTTGACCGATATATCGGTTTGACCCGCCAAAAAACCGCCGCAAACCGCCTCGCTGTAAAAAACCGATATTCCAAACCGCCTCAACAAAATCGTAAAGGTTTATAACCGATACCGATATATCGGCCGATATATCGACCGCCACGACCGCTATTTAGAACACTGCTATTAGCATTAACATTAACAATATTACAATGAATAATATATACGTAAAAAATAAAAATAAAAATGTATTCATTGAAAATAATAATAAAAGTAATTTCATAAATTAATAAGTTATTAATTAATGTGTAAATTAATAATTATTAATTTTTCGATAAGTTAATATTTCGCTAAATTAATGAAATCTTGATGGTTCCAACTGCATTAATTTATAGAGGTTTAACTGTATCTTGAATAAAACAGAAGTTGTTATCTTGAATAAAACATAAGTTATTCATTGAACGCATCGTCTTATATAGAGGTGGAAATGGCAAATGAGTTAGACAACAAAAGTAAACCCCAGTGAGATGGATAAAAAAATAAAAGCCCTAATTAATCCCAAAAATCGGAACGGGGACGAAACGGTCATTTTCTTGAAATGTAGAGGATCCGAGTTTGCTTGTGTGCTTTCGGTGGCTCCCTTGTGCGAAAACCACCTCCGTTTTCGTTTACGTGAGAAAACTCGAACTTCACAAGAATCTCACAGTCAATGTAAACGTTATTTCTGCCCCCACCATGTAGAGGTAACCTGATTTCGAATCGTAAACTCCCCACATTAATCGATAGTTCGATCGACATACATATTTTTTTTGACAAAACTACCCCTAATCTTTTCACACGAACAATCAAACTAATTTTAATACATTCAATTTATCATAAATCATATTACATGAGTGTGTAGGTTTACTCAGTGAACCTATATGGTTATACCATATGATAAACTCAATTTATCACAACACAACTTTTTTTTTCTGATTAATTGAATTAAAAACACATTAGACCATTTTTTTTGTGTTACTACATAATAATCACTCTTCATTCATTACTAACAACAGGTACTCTCTCATAGAGCTCCACTTCCCCGAACCCGCGAGGAAGAATGCACCGCCCCCCGTACCGTTGCTGCAGAAAGACAACAACGGCCAAAGCAACGACCCCACAAGGAATCACGAAATCCCACATCGTCGAGTAGAAATCCGCACTTTGGTCCGCGTAAAAATAGGTCCCGTTAATACCAGCCGTCGGATAACTCCGCAGTCGGTACTGATCGTAAGCATGTGGGACCAGCCTAACAGCGCTGGTCCCCACGTAAAATGGGCCGGACAACACTGTCCGGCCCATTCCCCCTCGAATCGCGTTCAGCACGATTTGAGGGAGAAGAAAACCGTCAAGAATCAAACCGGCGTACGACCGTACATCTCCCCAAAGAGTACTACTAATACCGAGATCGCCATTGTATGATGATGGTGGCGATCTTTTGCCCCGTGACCAATTCAATAACAACATAATAAAGCCACCGAATACGTACACGACCAAAGAAATAAACGAGGCCTTCTTCTCTATCCGGGTGTCGTCGGTTTCTTTCGCGGACCAAACCGATTGGAGCAATCGTATTTGGAGCAAGAACGCTACCATGGTGACGACCCGTATGGCTACCTCGTTAGCTTCGAGCCATTTCCCACTACTCACTAGAAACGTTTGCTTCGCGTGGCTCCCCAAGAAAACGGCCTCAAAGTTTAGGACAAGCGGGACCATGTGCCCTAGAGAAAGTACGACGAGCATCGCGATCGAGATGCAAGATTGTACCTCGGGATTCCGCCTCCCGTGGAAAATTTGTACGGCCACGAATACGCACGAGAGCGTGTTGGATATCAAGACCAGGGCGATCTCCAAGTCCATTCTTGATATGGTTTCTACGGCTTGTTCCGTGTAGTAAGAAGTCGACGAAAAAGTCAACTCCTTGAAATAGAGAGGATCCGATTTCGGCCGCGTGCTCGAGATTGTTCCCTTGGTGAAACCGCCTTGGTTTTTTTCGTTCGTGGGCGCGAACTCGAATTTCACGAGAAGTTCGCAGTCGTTTACAGAAGTTGAATAGTTGTGGATCTTTCTACACCCCACCATGCAGAGGTATCCCGTTTTCGGATCGTAGACTCCCTCGGCCGTTAGATACATACGATCCTGAGGGTTCGTCGAGTTTGACGTAAGGAAATAGTTGATGCTTACGGTGTAGCTCATATTCAAAGGCGAACTATCGGCGGCAACAACGGCGGCGCCCTCTTCGACATCCGCGAACCGAGGGGCGGACTCCGGTGCGAATGCGTCCACCGCAACTAACATGCTGCTGCTTCTTTCGAACAAATCGATTCCGACGGAAATAGGAGTGGCGTAGCCCCACCCTATTTGCTCACCATTCGAGTTTTTGAGAGAGAGATCGAATCTCATATCGTACGAATGTCCGTCGGGATATATACTACCATTATTCGGAAGCTTCTTTACCGCCATCGGGCACAAATTTCTCACTCTCTCCGATTCGGTGTAATCGTATTTCATGCCTGGAAGTGCCACCGCATCAATCTCATCGGGGCTTTTCAGATCGATCTTCCGGAAGTACGAAGAATCGTTTACGGGTTTTGTGCTCCATAATCGTCCGTTAACTTTGGCATCACTTCGTATACTCCAGATCGAAGGGTACCGTAGAACGAACCTTGTCGTACAATCCCCCACAACATTGCTCGGATTTTCGATCGGGTTTAACAATCGACATAGAACGCCTGATAAATGGTTGTTTGTTTCGTCCCACGATGCTTCTCCGACAAAAGTCGAATCGCGGCTGAAATCTTGATCGTATCCATAAGTTTGATTATGGAAATTTGCAATGAATCTTAGCTTCATTTCACCTCCGAGACACTGGATCGACCTCAGCGATAAAAAACGGGGCGAAGAAGATCCGGCGAGAGGAGAACAACGGCGGCGAGACTCTCTGCATTCGTCGACTGCATCGTAGGCCAGCTCTGATTTGATCCTCGAAGAGAGTACGGAGCAAAACGACACCTTCTGCAAATCGAGGGATTGGTTCTTGGGGAATTCGGAATCGGTCGAAAACGGGACCAATGAGTAATTGTAGTCGCGAGAAACCGGAAAATCGAAAAGCAGAATCGGGTCGAAATAGCCCGGATCGTTTGCAGAGGAGGAGGACGTGCTCTGGAAACTTCCGGCGACGGCGGCGGTGTGAATGTCCGGATTCTCGGCGGCGTAGTTGACCTTGAGAACGGCGGCGAGATTGACGGCGGCGCGTGTTTCTTCCACCTGCCAAGAGGCTGACCCCACCATACAGAGCTTCCTCGAAACCCCAGACCAGAAACCCGTGAGCGAAAATCTGACCGACCCACGAGCAGCTCTCTTCCGGTAATAGGATCCGCCATAGCCGCTGCCGCTTCGAGCTCGATTGTTACTGATATTATGACTGTAGTACTGGTTGTAAGGAGATCGGATGAGGAAGGAAGCTTGGACCTTGTAAACGCCGGCGGCGGTTGTCTCGTAGTAGTTTTGTACGAACCGGAGACGAACGAATCTTCCTCCGAAGCTGTAGGTTTGGTTGGTGGCTTGGTTGGTGGGCCGGAAAAAGGAGTCGCCGCCGGTAAAGTAGAAAGAGGTGAACTGGAGAGGGAGGGGGTCGTGGTATGTAGGGACGGTGGTGGTGGATTCCGGCACGACGGAGGAACAGTGTTGGGTGTATGAGACTGAAGCGGAAAGAGTGTAACGAAAGAAGAAGAAGAAGAAGAAGAAGAAGGTAGAGAGAGAAAGTGAAGATGCCATTGTAGCAGGGTTTTCGAGGAGATTAATGAAAGATGAGAAGAAGTGGGAATTCAAGAAGAATTCTTGCACTCGTTCTTGATTCAAGATTCAAGAAGATAGATTAATTGGGTTTGTTATTGTATATACTTTTTTCAACGCTCCACTTCCTGGAAATTGCAGGCTGGGCAAATGTGATTGACTCTTGGAAGATGAAGTCTACTTTCTTAGGGTTTTTTTGCATTTTGCACCCTCAAATTATATACTTTTTGCATTTTGCACCCTTAAATTGCAAAATTAGCAAATTGCATCCTTGAGGTAACGTCATATTACTAAAAAATTCTCTCATATTTGGGTAGTTACAAACAATCATCATTTAACTATGAATATTTTTACACGTCGACCCTTATGGTGTTAAATTTAACATAATCTTCTACATTCAGTGGAATGTTCTCTAGTTTGTACTCGTTTTGTGAACCAATGCAGTTTCTGATGCATCACAATCTGATATTTACAAGTTAATAGATACATCTTATGATCATGTTGTCTCAAAATGTGGAGCTCGAATAAGGTAGAACGGGTACAGACTGAAGAATATTCTACATAATCTAAAAGATTCCACTAAATTTAACATCGCGAAGGATGGACGTGAAAATATTTCCATCGAGATGATTTGCATTATCTTCTGCTTTAGAATGCTAAAATTGCTCATTTTTGCAATTATATTTTACATCTACGATAAATTATGTATCCGAACATGTTTAATAGGTTAAAAAAATGTTGGGCAAGTTCTTGTTTCTTTTCAAACCAAAGGGGAACTAGTAATGCTTGAAAACGGTAAGACCAAATTACGAAATAAATGCTTCTTGTTTAGGACTAGAAACTAGAAGCACGATTGGGGTCTTCGTGGTACAAGTTAATACATACTTGAAGAATAATTGCAATTACATAATTTAACCTTAACTTACGGGTTTGGCCGTAATTTGCCGGACTTGAAAATAATGTATTTTATATCAGTCTAGTGGACCAAGAAGATTCCTAGAGTTGACTTAGCATATAGTAATGGGAAAAGGTCACATTGCTACTACCAAATACCAAATAATGGGAATTCATTAATTTCAACGAAGACTTGAGATTTGAAATGGTAGTCTATCTTGAACATAACGCCACGTCACTATCTAGTTCAATATTGTAATAATAACACGTCACTAGAATATGCCTAGTGGCACTACTATAATATATATAAATATAAATCAATAGAGTATGAACAGTTTTATTCCGATCAAAAACAAAAACCAAGTCCAGTTTAATTTAAAAAATGCAGAATCTTTTTTACATGTCACAAAATTGTTTTTTTTTTTTCATTTTTTTTTGGAATAACTTAATAGTAACTTAGGGCATTACGAGCGGCAATACTCGATTGAAGATTCCCCCTTTGAGCCAAAGACAAAAACTCGCGACAGTTATTCGCTCCGATTTCCGTAAACGCGTTCACCAAAAGAGCAATAAACCCAGCCAATCTCGTCTTAAATTGCTGCGAGCAGTTCTTATCTCCTTCGTCGACATCTTGCACACCACCTTTAGCAAGACACCCCACTTGAACACCTTCCATGTAAGCCTTACACGACACAAGAATATCTCGAGCGTTCTTGCAGAAATACCCTCTCACAAATTCCTCAAAATACTACAACACACAAGTACAAGGTATATCAAGAATCGCTTACCTGGAAAGATTTAAAAAAAAAAAAAAAAGAAAAAAAAAGGGAGGAAAAAGATCGTACCTTTGGAGGCCTTCTTATGCTGTAGACCATAGTCTGGAGAGAATAGATATACGTGTTTTCATTATACTCCAAAGATCTCTTCTCTCCAGTTGGGGTGCCACTCGTATTTGCGTATCCAGGCTCGTTAAAATAGGGCTTTGCGTTTAAAATCAGCCCTTGTATGGATACCAAGACTTGCAGCATGGTCGAAACACCAGGTAGCCATTTCTCCTTTTGGCCGCCAGTCCAAGTATTGAGAAGGCTTAGGCAAACTTTCCCACAATTGTACAAGTTAGGGTTTATACGAAGGCCGCCCGAGTGATAATGCACGTGCTGAAAAGAATATAGGAATAATTTTATTGATAATTTGACACTAACGAGTGTATTTTAATATTTATATAAAAAAATCAAAAAAAAAAAAACGGAAACATACAGGTGGAACGTTGGGGTAGCTGCTGGGGAAAAAGACATCGAAGAAAAAGAGACCATCTTGGTACGGAGTTCCCTCTGCACCTATTATCACAGCTCGTAAAAGATCCATCCTCGATTCGTATACCCTCACAAATATTTCAGCTGTTGGAGAAAAATCACAGAAGAATATTTATGTAGTTAGAGATGCAGTAGCCTAAAAGTTACCAGGCAAAAAAAAAAAAAAAAATTACCCGGCAAATCTTTTTCAAGAATTTTCCATTCTTCTTGTATTCTCTTGGCCCAATTCTTTGGTGCCTGTATCACATATTAAAGAAGAGAAAATAAAGTAAAGTACGCCTGTACGAGGTAAAAGTTATGACAATGTTTCAGAAGGAAAAAAAATTAGTTACAGCCACCTGTTTTGCAGAAGAGCCACTATTGCAGTAGTGGTGGTCTGAAAAATCCTCAACTGTGTCAAATTTCTTAAAAGCTTCAAACATCTGCACACTCTTATCCACATCTATCTGATCTATCTTGGCAGGCAGTGAATTCGGTATTGAAGATGGTCCAATTAGATTATTAGTAGGACCCACAGAAGGCTGCAAATTATTCATGGGTAAATTCTGAAGCGAAGGCATAGCATAGTTTCCCGCTCCAAACGGATAAGTGGAAGTAGGCATGTTCATCATAGGGTAGCTACTACCGCCATTAACATTCGGAAACGTTGAGACAGAATATTGGCTGTAATGACTCGGATAGGCAGTACTTGCATGTGATGAACGTGGCTTCCTTTTATTCTTTCCAAGAGAGAGCAGAATTTCCTTTGCAGCCTTGCTAGTTGCAGAACCCGTTGAATGTTGCAAACTCGCATTGGCATCAAAACTCGAAGCAGCCGATTTCTTGTTACTTTTACTACGTTCGTACGATTTCGAATGTATTTTTTCCTTCGAATGTTTGCTGCCTGAACTCGTGTCCTTACCTGAATTCGGAGTAGAAAGATTGTTTATTTGTGGTAGAGGAGTAGAAGGATTGTTTGTTTGTGGTAGATTCAATGGCTGCGGAGATTGAGAGGAGTTCAACTGAGGTTGGAAATTTGGGTATTTTGAAGTGCTATTTGTTGGCAAATTCATATCAATTATAGTGGTGGAATTAGACAACCAAGGGAATGGCGCCTCGACTCCAGTCGGAATATCCATGTGGTCGAAATACGATCCCGCAGCAGCGTAGTCATCAAATATTCCGTCTTCGTAATATGAATCTATCCAATCCTCCTCTCCATAGAATGAATCGGAGTTATAATCTTCAACATTAATTGAATCATCTACGGTGCCAGCACCGTTATTAGACGTCAGAGCGTTACTCGCGGGTTCGTTATCTGCTAAAATACTTAGACCAGCTAAATAATTGGGCACAATTTCCTGCGGATCAAATATGCCACCATGAACAATAAGTAACTACGTATAAAAATCAAAGTTCTGACTACCTACATAGAAACTTACCAAAACAACTATTTAAGTTGGCTAAGAAATCTGAAGTACCTTGCCTTTGGCACTTGAACCAACTCCCTCATTAGCTGGTACGATTTCGCGAGAGTCTTCTTCCAAGTCAACATCTATTATTTCTTGATAAATAACCTGCAAGAGATTCGGAATAGATGCATATAAGCAATAACTCTCAGAAAACCAGTTAACAGAAAAGGACGATATAACAAGTAAAGAAAATAAAAAACAGGTTGATATTTTGACAGAAAATTACAAGCACCCGTAACCTTGTCTCAAATTTATTGATTATGCAGAACATAGTTTATTCAGATCGAAAGAAAGGGGAGAAGTCACACGCACATTCAGACACATTCGTAAAGGCACATGTGGTTGAGAAAATCTTTTGAATCTAATCATGCCGCAAGAATCAGGTGACGGCGTCACATAATAAAAGTCTTAAGATAATGCGAAGACAACCATACAGATTCGGAATTTACTACCAGACATCAACAATCTCAGATTTACAAAAAAGTTTGTACATAAAGGCGTGGAGACAGAGGGTCTTTTCACGTTTATCTTGAAAGCGCGTCAAAGCGAAAATCAATAACATCTTGATCTTGTATATGGTTTCCCTTTTCTTAGTGCCGGGTGAATCGGTTACGTATTTGCATTCTAAAAAATTACTGAAGCCCATGTATAACATATACTAATTTCCCGAAATCTCAATCTGCATATCATCTAACACATGCTTATAGTGATGGCAATATCCACCAAGTAAAATTCAAGAACAAAAAAGAGTTAAACATACGAAACCAATAGGAACAAAAAAGAGTTAAAATTCAAGAACAAGTGGGGGAAATAGGAACATTATCAATCTTCCAATAGACTCCAATGTAAAATCGATTAAACAAAATCACCGATTATAAACAATCAAAAGAAAATCGCACAAACAAACACACACACACACACACACACACACACACACACACACACACACACACAGAATCAATTAAACAAAAAAAAAAATTCACCTCTTTTTGTTTAGAGGACTTGGGTTTAGAAGATCGATTAATCGGCGGCGGAATTTCCAACACCTCCGCGTCTTTACACCCGGACGACGAACTTCCAGCCATGAACGATCTTTTCCTGAGAAGTCACCCACATAAAAATCAACACTTCAAAACCCAATACAAATTCACCGATCAAATTAAAAAAAAAAAAGATGAGGAGAAATTAAATTACTTAGAATTCTGAGGGATGTATCGAGAAACCGGAGTGGGCGATTCCATGGCTATAAAAACCACAACAAAATTCAGAAACCGAAACAAAAACTAATTAGGGTTTCGGCCCGTAAAAGGATTCATTGATAGATGGGTTTATTATTCCCTATTTTGGGGGAAAATCATAATCGATTACGGTTCTAGGGTTCCGTTTGGTTCTTGGATTCTCACTATATACAGAAAGAAGAAGAAATCGGAAATTATTATATATATATATATATATAGAAATAAATAGGGAAAAATTCACGAGCAGGGTTCTCGTTCTTCGAATTTATTATATATATATTCTAGAGAGAGAAAGTAGAAAAGAAATTAAGAGAGAGAAAGAGTGAGTGTGATGATATATAAATTATTAAATACTACTACTACTACTTTGTTGGCTTCGCGCCCAGTTATTAAGTGCTAAACTTCGGATCGTCGTTCGTAGGTTACACCGCCTACTAAAAAACCCTCCAATTTTGGATTATATTACGGTTCTGCCATCGCAATTGAAAAGGCGGAATAGCGGAGAATGGAGTGGTGGGGCCCGTTGTGGTCTTTTTCTGCGACTTCTTAAATTTCTGAGGGTAAATTGCGTTTTGCACCCCAGTATTAACAGTATTTGGCGTTTCCACCCTAACATCTTAAAATTGGCGAAGTCCACCCTTAAAATATGCATCTCATGGCAAAATGCACTCTACTTCAATTTCTAGTGATATTTTAGCCAAAGAGAATCAATATATCGCAATAGAATTTTCATTATTCTGTATGTTTTTTTTTCTTACTTAATATTATTTAATTATTTACTTGTACATATATTTAAAACATAACTGAAGATTTATTTTATATGTTTTGCCTCGAAGTAAAAAATGTATATATAATTTCTAATTTTGATTCAATTTTAATTTTCAAAATAATTCAAATTTCCTAATTTCCATAAAATTAATATCTATTAAAAAATTAAAAATAGAATAAGAATTGTAGGACATTAGTATTATTTTTAAATGTCTAGTTGATAGCAATTAAATGTATTGTTTAAAGTAAGGCTTTAAATTGTTATCTTCAGAAGTTAAAATATCGTGATGTGTCGATTTTTGGGCTTAAATCTCATAAGAAATTGATGTATGGTGCATTGTGCCATGAGAAATATAAATTCAGGGTGGACATTGCCATTTATGAAACGTGAGGGTGCAATGCGCCAATTAGGGTTAATTATGGGGTGCAAAACGCAATTCACCCAATTTATAAGGTAAATATTACTTAACCCCATGTGTTCTTAAGTTTTGTGCATATGACCCCTTACACTTTTAATATATGCAGATAATCCCCCTGTAGTTTGAATTTTTCCACATGACCCCTTAAACTTTTAATATATGCAGATAATCCCCCTGTAGTTTGAATGTTTCCACGTGACCCCTTAAGCTTTTAATATAAACACATAGCCCCTATTTTGTACCACTTGATAAATAATCATACGCATTAGGAAAGGGAAAATTTTGAAAGTACAGAGGGGCTATGTGCTTATATTAAAATACATGGGGGTTATGTGTTATATTGAAAGTATAAGAGGGTCATATGCACAAAGTTCAAACTATAGAGGCTTAAGTGATATTTACCCAAATTTCTATCTATGAGCATTAATTAAGAAAATTTAATTTGCTGATGCAGTAAATGTTTTGGGAGGAAAGTAATTAATTTTTCTTGTTGGGAAATAAATAAATTAGAAGAGACAGATTCACTTTATAAGTGGAGTAATTATATGAAACGTTGGGTTTTATTTATTTTTTATTTTTTTCATTTCCAGTTCGGTCAATTTTTTGGGAATAATAATTTTAATTTCCAATTTATTGTAATTAAATTAAATATTGAATATTTTTTTTTCATACCACCATTAAATACATTAATATAAGATATTTATGATTAATTTTTTTGACCAAGTACATCTAAAACAAAAAATTCAAACCTATCTACTTGCTCGTTAAACGTTTGAGCTCGATTTATTGAAAGTATAACAGTCGATAAGTATAAAAAGTTAATCTACTCGAGACTTTGATTTGTGTTCGGCTTGATTAAAATCCATTTGATTTTGAGTCTATTGCTAAGCAGATTAAGCTCAAACACAAATTTAAAAACTCGATAAAATTCAAACAAGTTGTTTTCGGCTTGATTTGGTTCGTTTTCCCAAGTAATTCCATCACTATCTAATGACTCAGTCCAAATTCTATAAATTAACATTTTTTTATATATTAATTGTTAAAAAATTTATTAAAACTCAAGTTATATCATTCTCCTATTTACCATAGGATTTCAATCTTTTTATAAATTACACTTTACCCCATCGAGGTTGTCTAATAACCGATAGACCCATCACATTTGACAAATAACAAAAATTTTCCATAAACTATTAAAGTTGAAAATTCCAAAGAAAACTAAATAAATAATGTTTTTATCCTCATCAAACTATTTATTTTTAATAATTACACATATCTCCTTCTAAGTTGAGTATCATTACATTCAAACCCATTTACATTGAGAAAATCACCCAAACTTCCATTAATGATTAAAGAATAAAGATTGATTACCACCAAAACTTAATCCTAATGATCACTAATTTAAATAAATCAATGATGGCATAAAGAAAACAACTATTTAAAAAAAAATATTATTACATAAGGAACCGTATGTTCATCAACAATAATAAATGCAACGACGAGAGGAACAACAATCACCACGCAATTAAACCGAAAAAGAAATGAAAAGAGAACCTTCGTTAACCACACGTTGTGAAGCAGGCGACAACGTTGTTGCACAAACGTCGCACCATATCCTGATAATAATCTACATAATCTCGAAAATTCCACTAAATTTGAAACCGCAAGGTTGGACGTGTAGAAAAAATTATATTTGAGGGGGTGGTTGTAATTTGAAACCGCAAGGTTGGACGTGTAAAAAAATTTATATTTGAGGGGATGGTTGTAATTATCCAATTACAGATAGAACCCCTACATTTGAAAAATTATACAAACAACCCCTGAAGTTTGATTCATATAAACAACCAATCACTTGCGTGGGACGAAAGTTTCAATTTCCGCCAGTTCCAATCGGAAAAAAATCGATTCTGAAACAAAAATTTTCATTAAGACTTTCGAAATTCCAATTTTTGATTTTTTTTATTGAAATTGAAATTATATAAAAAAAATTTGGAAATTTCGATCCAATTTAGTTTCAAAAATTAATTTCGATTTTCTTCCGAAAAATACACCTATAAATAATATATATATTATATAATACTTATTTTAAGTTTTCTGTTTTGTCTTTTGAAACAGTCATTTGATTTAAGTTTGTTTTATGATTTTTACATATTGAACTGCTGTTTGAACTTTTGTTGCATATTATAATGTGGTTTATTTTTTATTTTCTATTTGAACTGAAATTTAATAATTATTAGTTTTACTTTTATAGACGTGGATATTCTTATTTTTGGAAAATTATGAAATTGGAATGAATTTTTAGATTCCAAAAATTTTGGAATTGGAATTGGAACTGATTTTTTACTTCCAAATTTTTTTGGAAATTTTCCGAAAAGGCTAATTACGATCTGATCCATCTGACTTTAAGAGGGTGTTTGGCTAAGCTTATTTTAAACAGCTGATAAGCTCCTACGTCTGATAAGATGTTTTAAGAGCTGATAAGCTGTGACGTCTTATTTTTTGGATTAATTTTTAGAGGGTGTTTGGCTAAGCTTATAAGATGTTAAAATGAGCTTATAAGATGTTTTAGAGCTTATAAGCTCTTCCAAAGTGTTTGGTAATTTTTTTAAAAAAATCTTATTTTTTTTAAAAATAAGCTGTTGGAGAGCAAATAAGATCTTTTTAAATAAGTACCTCTACCCCACCTTTTTATTTAAGATCTTATTATGAGTAAAAATAGGAAATAAGCTAATTATCCAAACACTCTAAAAATTAATCCAAAAAATAAGACGTAACAGCTTATCAGCTCTTAAAACATCTTATCAGACGTAGGAGCTTATCAGCTGTTTAAAATAAGCTTAGCCAAACACCCTCTTACCATAAAGATGGACGTGTAAGAAGATTCATAGTTGAAGGGGTGATTGTAATTACCCAAACAAGAGGGGTTTTTTTCGTAATTTGACCTTACCTCAGATGGTGGCCGTAATTTACCCTATAATAAATGATTACGGAAAGACTATTCATAGCAGCTATAAATATACAAGGTGAGGCAATAATGTACTTCTTACCTGCTTGACAAAGGTATCGAGGATATACTTGGATAAAAGGACGGCGTCTAACTGGATCGGACAAAAACATAGGAATTGGGTGAGACGAGAAAAGCACATTCGCAAAAGAATCTTATAGTACTTCGGAATTGGTAAAGAATAGACTTGAAAGAAGAAACGTACACGTTGATCTCTATCGTCTTTCTTCGCCAACTCCAATTCCACGATTAGCAATGCAAGGTCGAAGTTTTCAGGAGGAATAAATCTAAAAATTTCATAATAAAATCGTCAAAAATAAAAACAAAAAAACGTTTACACGTTGACGATATAACAATCATCAACATAGAAACTACACAAATCATACTTGCTAACAGATATCGATTCCCCGATGAAGGCTTTAGCATCGCGACATTGAATGGGGTTAAGAGCAATCTGGCCATCGACAGCGGGATGGCCAGTGCCAGTATATGTATATTCGAGTCAAGGTCAAACATATCATAAACGAAACGATTGTGTAATAATAACGATAGTCGAAGCAGTAGTAGCAAATATTAATAAAAGGGACCAAAATTCAACTTTGTAATAGTAGTTTTACTCCTGGATATTGTGCAACACGATAAATATCGAGCTTCCACAAATACCGCTCGTATATGTGCACCATCTCAGTTAAGAACAGTCTTTTTGACGAATCAACATCGACACATTATCTAGTCAACCAACTGTATTATATATCCCGATAAGCAAAACGGACTTTGGAAGCATAACAAGGAAACCCCCACCACCCGTTTTTCATCACATAGCATAACAATGAAACACAATTAGAAAGCAAACATGTTTAATTGCAACGGTTTCTTTTTTCCCAATACTAAATAAACCGAGAGAATTCAATCACATTGCCATTCAGAAAAAAAAACACTAATAACATAACAACCACACGCAAAAGACATACATACATGATATAATGACACAAGTACACCTTATTTTTTTACGAGAATTTTCTAAAAAAGTCCTTCGCCATTAAAATCCACTCATATAAGTACACCTTATTCTTTTATGTTAGCTAAAAGCCCCTCGACAAAAAGGCGGGAAGCTTAGTTGACCGGTGAGCTTAGTTAATACAAACACGACCACACACACACGTACACACATCGAAACACACACAATTTCTATATCTGAGCTCTCGTTTGCTAAATCGTATAACTAAAATTACTATCTAAGCTATATAACCAGGGGCGAGTCCACCCTTAGGCAAGGGTGAACTCAAGCCCACCCTCAATTTACAAATCCCCCCTATAATTACACTATATACCTATTTACCCTCCCTAATTTTATTAATTAGTCCACCCAAAATCCAAATAAATGCAAAAAAAAAATCTAAATTTTTTTTTTTTTTTTTTCGGTTTCTTCTTTTCCTATTTTCTGATTTTATCACAAAAAAATCCTAGAAAAGAAAATTTAAACCCACCCTATACCACGCGCGTGAGAGAATTTTGAAGTCGGCAAAAAGGATATGTAATAGAAAGAACGAGCGCGTGACGCGCGTGGCCTATCAAAACGTAGGCGTGGTTCGATCCAGGTACAAGGAAATTTGTCAAATAGCTCTGGCTACAGTAGGCTACATTGTAAAAATCGGAGTGTTTCTCCGAATGGTCGACCACGATCATCGTCCACGAACGCCCTGCCATATTTCTCCTAGAGAGAGAAAGAGAGAGAGATAGAGAGAGAGAGAGAGAGAGGGAGAGAGAGAGAGAGAGAGAGAGATGAAATTCAAATAAAAGGTCACTGTTTTCGAAATTGAAATAATGAAATTAATTTTTTCTTCCATCTTCTCTTATAATAATACTCACCTGCAATCGGGACCCAATGGATGAACACACCGAAATCGTCGTCGCCATTTTTCAACTTCCGCCGGAGTGGTGATCTGAGAAATTAAATTACTGTAATTTACTTTGGGGTAATTGGAAAAGTATTATACTTGATGTCCTTGATGTTAGGTTAAATTACAGATAGAACCCCCACATTTGAAAAATTTATACAAACAACCCCTGAAGTTTGATTCATCTAAACAACCAATCACTTGTGGTTAGGGGTGCAAGTTGGAACGAAAGTTCCAATCCGAAAAATTTCGATTCTGGAACAAAAATTTTCATTCTGATTTTCTGAAATTGCAATTTTTTGATTATTTTTTTGGATTGAAATTGGAATTATATAAAAAATATTGGAATTTCCGATCCGATTTAGTTTCCAAAATTAATTCCGATTTTCTTCCGAGAAATACACCTATAAATAATATATATTATATAATACTTGTTTTAAGTTTTATGTTTTGTTTTTTGAAACAGTAATTTGATTTAAGTTTGTTTTACGATTTTAACGTATTGAACTGTTGTTTGAAGTTATGTTGGATATTATGATGTGGTTTATTTTTTATTTTCTATTTGAACTGAAATTTAGTAGTTATTAGTTTTACTTTTATCGACGTGGATATTCTTATTTTTGGAAAATTATGAATTTTTCAGAAAATTTCATCCAAGTTTTGAAATTTTAAAACTTATTTGATTTCCGAAATCCCGAAATTTCCGCGCCTTTTGTAATTGGAATGAATTTTTAGATTCCAAAATTTTTAGAATTGGAATGAATTTTAGATTCCAAAATTTTTAGAATTGGAACTGGAACTGATTTTCTACTTTCGATTTTTTTTAGAAAATTTTCCGAAAAGGCTAATTCCGATTCGATCCATCTGAGTTCCAACCCTACTTGTGGTTCATATTTACTTGGAAAAGAAATTATTATTATTATTTTAAACTAGCATTTTTTTTCACGTGCGATGCACGGGGTAGCATTGCAAAAAGGAAGAAAATTTTAAATACATGATAATTAAATTGTATTAAAAAAATCAATTACACAATATTAAAATATTTAATTATTTTTCAAATAAACACATTATTAATTAGTAATTAATAATTGGAAATGTATCTTTTGTGCAACACCGGATGAAGTTACATTTAAAGAAACCTAAGCGCATGCATAGTAAGTTATTAGTAGATGCTACACCGGATGATCTTGAAGACTTGAACCACCGATCTATACATAATAACACACATACCCATGTGTATGTGTGTGTTAGTGGGTGGTTATTTATATCGATCTACAATTCAAAACCACCAGGTGTAGCATCTGATTTTATGGTTAAGATAGTTGATCTTCAATCATCGCCAACAAATTTCGCTCCTCTTATCAGCTTCCGGAAATCTTATTTTTTTATTTGAAAATTTCAGCTAAGTATGTACATTTTTCATTGTAGAGATGAATACACTAGGTTTTGGTTGAGTAGATATGTAATGAATCAATGATAAGAACAAAAAATCATTAAAGCATGAAATCGAATAGAGGAAACGATACAAGACATGAATTCGCTCGTTGTTAAGCAGACGACAATGTTATATGCAGAAATCGAATAAAAGAAGAGACACGAAAATGTTATATATAGCATACGAAAATGTTGTTTCACTAGTTTTGCACCATATCCCGAAGGATATCACGAAAGTGCAAAATATTGATCTTTTCTTCACCCTTTTCACCGTCAGCAGCCATTTCGATCGCCAGGTACAGCTTCTTGAGGGGCATCTGGAGTAATTTATATTAAAAAAAAAAGAGGGTGAGGTGGCAGTTTATGTTGTTATCATACTCGAGCGATTTATTAGCTATAATGCGGATGAGCAATAATAACACAACACACATTTTCGACCTTCTATTTCATATTTAACTGTGCCGAATACGAGACTTACGTCATTTAACGCCTCGGCAGCAGAATCAAGATCCTGACTTGAGAAAACGTTAAGCCGCTGTAACACCTGTGAGGAAGGAAACATCAACATATATAGAACAATTGTAGACACACAAACACACACACACGTGTATATGTGTGTGTGTGTGTGTGTGTGTGTGTGTGTGTATTTATTCCACCTTTTTGGCGTCTTCTTTCTTTAGTGTCGGAACATTGTAGGTAAGTGCGAATGCATCTCGAATGCCGACTGAGTCCAGGAATTTTACTCCACTTGTAGTCCCGATAACGAGAAGTTTTTTCCCCTAAGAAAATAGGCAGAATTAGATCATCTCTCAGATTCAATTTTTATAATTCATTTGGCTATATATTAGCAACATTATTTGCATGAATCAAGAAAAATACCTTTGGAGGAAGCCGTTTCAGGAGCACCAAAAATGTGCGATAAATTAAATCCGAAAAACGAGGCCCAGTTACAACGTACTCCAATAGCCTGCAAAAGACGAACACAGATTGTATGGATGCGTACGAGGACCGCCAAATGATCAAATATATCAAAAATGTTGTTACCTTTCGACATCGTCGAGGATAATTATGCTTAGTGGCGATTTGTAAGCATCTTCAAATATCTATCAAGAAAAAACATATCATGCAATGCTCCTCGATATTAATTATATATATATATATATATATATATATATAATATAATACACATTTTCGTATAGATTTGAAGCAAAATGAAATAGATTTTTTTTGCAAGTATATGTCGAGACAAAGGTCAATGTATATAGAACCTTAACAATCTGGGCACATTTCGCGGGTTCACTGAGTTCAATCATTGTTTCATCGGATATCTAATGATTTTGTCAGAACGGGAGACGGTTAAAAATTTAATAGAGGTCAGAAACTAAATTGTTCATAAAAAAAAATAGACATTACAAAGAAGAAAGTAAAATAAAATAACTTACTATCTTGACGTAGGGGAAATCACTTTCAATACCAATTGTTGCTGCCATCGCAGTTTTACCACTGTCCAACAAAACGTAACAGTTTATATATATTTATTTATATATCTGAATGTTAAATGTCGTTTCAATTTTACTAATACCGTTTTGACTTCGAACCTGATTTTGACATATTTCAATTTTGATTTTGGCAAAATTCGAAACACGAAAAATGTAGTCCTTTGGGTTAGCTTTCTAATCCAACTTGAATCCGCTAGATTGGATGCCGTTTGACAAAGTTATGCATGAATGAGTCACATTTTGAATTTTAGATACCTCAATACAACAAAATTGTGGGCAGTATCCATTCATTCATGTATATTTTTCTTGTCCGACATCCAATTTTGGTGATTCAAGTTGGATTAGAAAACTAACTCAGAATACTACAAATTCTATTTTTCGGGTTTTGCAAAATTTGGAATTAAAAATGATCCAAATCACGTTTGAAGTCGAAATAGTATTATTAAAGTTCGAACGACATTTATCACATCTATATATATATATGTATATATACCAAAAAAAAATTACCTGCCACGTGGGCCTTCGAGAAGGCAAGTAACAAGGGGGCTTCCTTCACTAACTTTAACCTTTTCCGTTAACAGCCGAATTCTTCTATAAGTGTGATCATGTCGGGAACCACAGTTTATGAATCCATTCAGTCTGTAAATAGTAGCTATCTTAATTTTTCATACACGTGACCGAGTAAACAACACAAAATGTTGGAACTACGATGAAAAAAAGGTTATATAAGGGCAAAAATTAACCAACTTAGCCTTGTTCAGCTAACTGTTTATACCTGCAGCGTTCAAGGTCAACTAGACCGGATTCTTTGTCCTTGGAGATGTTGGTAGGTTCCCGCTGGTTGAAAATCTGCATTAAATCGGTAAAAAAACATGAATGAATCACTCCCGTTCACGGGTCGGTACGGAATTGGTTTTTGCAATAAACCAAACACGTACGGATAATATCGGATTTTCATATTTTGAAACGGAACATGTCGGTTTTTTCGGTTCGGTGTTAACCGGTTTTCCGGTTTTCGGTTAACGGTTTCGGTATCGGTTCGGTTTATTTTCGGTTTCGGTTTCGTCTATCGGTTCGGCATAAAACCTATATTTGATTAACAGTGAATTTGGACTTTCATTACATTTGTTTGAAAAAATTAACAAATAACAACTCAAAATTAACTAATAAAAAACACGTCACAACCCAAAATTAACTAATAAAAAACGTCACATGGAGGCGTTCGAAGGATAGAGGCGCTCTAGGGAAAGTATTTGTACTATATATCAAAATGACGTCGTTTTGTATAAATCGGTTCGGTTCGGTTCGGGTAATCGGTTCGGTAATTTTTTTATTCTCCATACACAAACCGATATTTTTGATTTAAAAAAAAAATTACCCGTATATGTGGTTTTAAGTCAGGACGGTGCATATCGGCTTGGTTTTTTCGGTTTTCAATTTGGTTTTTCGGTTTCTCGGTTTTTTTGCTCACCTCTAAATCACTCAAATGTAACTTGATAACATGAAAGTATTCGGTATTTCTCAAACTTTCAAGAAAAAGAAAAAAAAAACCTGTATCCCACTTGACAACGGTGCTTCGTAAATGATGTGTGTGTCGGCTGATATCATCCCTCTCTCGATACGATTGGTTTTTTCTTTACCCTGAACAGCAACTTGATTTACAGTGAAGATATATCCAATTTCATTGTATTTTAATAATACCCTCTGCCCGGTTGTCATAACCTGCACGCACAAGAACCAATTCTCAGAACAATCTAAACGAGTCTTGATAATAATCGTACAAAAGCATGGAATATCTAGAAATATACACACGCTATCTCTTCAATAAATTTTTTCAAACGATTAAAGACGAAATCCGAACCTGTTTAACAAAATAAATAGATAATGAAAAAGAGAGCTTCTAAACAAATTGTCCATAACAAACAGGTTCTGCTATCGTCGGAATCAAAGAACACATTACTATACGGTGAGTAATGAACGGAAGTATTGTCCGTCAATTTTTCTCGTTAACTAAGCAGCGTTTGCCTACAAAGACTTCTTACATGGCTGAGAAAGTACTCGCGAATATGCTTGGAAAAAAGGATGGCGTCTACCTGAATAGAACAAAAACAAAATTACTCACTCCATGAAAGCGAAAAAAAAAAAGAAAAATAACATATAGCAAGAAACATACAAGTTCATCTTTTCCGTCTTTGTTTGCCAACTCCAATTCCACGGATAGCAACGCAAGGTTGAAGTTTTCGGGAGGAGGAAGAAACCTAATAATAAATTTCAGAACAAATAACTGTAAAAAAAAAAAAAGTTTACATACGTTGAACTACACGCCATCGTATATACCTACTAACAGACACAGAGTCGCCGTTGAAGGCCTTAGCATTGCGACGTTGAACGTCGTTTAGACCAATGTGGCCTCTAGGAATCTCATTTACCGTACTATTGAAGTTAAGGTAAATCAATATTATTCACATTATGGGAGACGAAAAATTAGAGGCTACACCTGGTTATTTACACTGGATGGATTTGAAACTGTAGGATTTGAACCGTAGATCTACGCATAATCACACAAAAACACACTCGTGTGTATGTGAGCTTAGTGGGTAGAGTTATTTAATCAAATCTACAGTTCAAATCCACCTGGTGTAAATTAACCTGGTGTAGCATCTAACTCCGCATAATCTAACAACTCATAAACAAAACTATTGTGTGATGAATTAACAACCACACACAAAATTGGGGGATTTTTTTTTTTTTTTTTGAAGCCCTTCACCATTAAAATCCTCTCACATACAGATAAGGATACACGTAGAAACAGTGAAAATCACACACACAAGTGGCGCGTGAGAGAATATTGAGGAGGATAAATTAAAAAAAAAAAAAAGGATATGCAAGAGTGAAAACGAACGCGTCGCCTATCAAAACGTAGGATCCAGAGACGAGGAAATTAGGGCTATCGTTGAAGCTACAGTAAGCAACATTCGCATAATTGTGTGCTTTCGTCGGAGTGTTGGTCAAAATCAGCGTCGCCATGTTTCTGCTGTATATAGAGATATAATTCAGAGTGTTTTTCTTTTGGAAAGCAATTTTCTTCCATCTTCTCTCTTATATTACTCTCGAAGAAGACATTGTCTCTCTGGATTATTTTATTGAAAATAATGGAAGTCGCCGCCACCGCAGCCGTCGCCGTCGCCGCCGTTTCAGCTTCTCCGGTCTGAGAAATTATTCTATTCTTTTCCCTCTTTTTTTTTTTATTCAAAGTCGTGGTGTAACGTGCCATTTGAATATGGGTTTTACTATTCATAGTGGAATTTTTTCTAGTTACAGCGTCAAATAATTCATTTGTCAAGAAATCCTTTAATTTTTTTCCAAATTCTCTCAACCTCTGAATTTTTAAACTTTCCAAATCGTCAAAGTTTTTCGATAAAATCAATTAGAACACAATAATTATCCATACGGAAGAAACCTACTTCAATTTTGAGATAAAGAACGTTTTTTTTTTTTATCGGACTTTGACATTTTTATCCATTTCATGTAGTATTACACGAAATGAAACACTGCATTTCGTGTAATATAACACGAAATGCCTTTTTTTCATAAATTTGTTTTTTTAGTGTAAATTTACAAGAAATACAAGCTTGTTTTTCGTGAAAATTTACACAAAATAAAACAAATTTATTGAAAAAAGGCATTTCGTGCTATATTGCATGAAATGCAGTGTTTCATTTCGTGCAATACTACACGAAATGCATAAAAAAACATAAATCTATGGTTTCGTTTATCGTAAAAAAACACTATTTCATACTTCTTTGCACGAAATGCCTTCATCCATTCCGTGTTAGGGAATACGAAATGTTCATGCACGAAATATAATTAGGAAAGGGTTTGAGAGAATTGTGGTTTTTTTCTTTGAAAATTACAAACGAAATAAAGTCGCACTGCAAGGCGGTAAAATATGTTCTATGAATAGCATTTCAGTTTGAAGAATATACCAACTTATACTTTATTTTGGATAAATTATACATTTATCCCAGGTGTTAGGTCAAATTATACATTGACCCCTAAATTTGAAACATTATTATACAAACGGCCCTCGAAGTTTGATTTACCCCCCAACACGAGCTCTGTCTAAAGTCGCTACTTAGCGATTAAGCGATTTCAATATGATTCTTCTGTAAACATCCCAATTAAGAAAGATTAGTATGCCTTCTGAGCTAAGGCAAAAGAGGAATATAAATCAGAAGAGGGAAGAAAAATTGATTTTGCATATTTCATTTTAATTTTCAAAAATTAGTAACTAAATTAGTGAATTCTGATCCCACTCTCGGCGAAATAAGCATCAGAAATCATGGCAGGGCGGTCGCCGACGATGATCGTGACCAACACTCCGGCGAAGGATCTCGCGTACACGAATTTCGCGTACTGTTCACCCTCCGATCTCCGAAATTTCCTCGTACCTGGATCCAGGCTCGCCTTCGCTTTGATTGGCGATGTGTTCGTTCTGTGTATTTCATATCCTTTTTTTACAAAGACCTTCTAATTTCACTCACGCGCCACTTGTGTTTTTTTTTTTTGCTTTCCCCTCTATGCTGAATTGCTGATGATGATTTAGTGTCATTGTATGTTTTTTTGGGTGCAATTGTTAGTTTATTATTGTTTTTTTAATAAATGGAAATGTGATTCGGGTTTAGGATTGGAATTTATAAAAGAAAATGTGATTTTTCTTTCTGATTAAACTGATGTTATGTGGCTGGTGGGGGTTTCTGGATTGGATGAAGTGAATTGGATGGATTGTTAATGATTTTATGGTTGGGTAATTAATCTTGACTTATCAGCTGATTAAACCCACTGCATGGTATATGCCTCCATATTTTGGTCCTCTTATCAGCTTCTAGAAATCTTAATTTTGATATGAACTTTTCGGTTATTTACATTTTTTTCATAGGGATGATTTTTTTTTACAGTTGGTTTTGGTTGACTAGATATGTGTTGATTTTTATTTCCTAAGTTTGCTGTTTCATTGATAAGGCTGTTCTTTTTTTCCTTGGCGACTTAGTAAAACTGAATTTAGACTCGAGCCTTGTTACTTGGTTTTAACTGAGGTAGTGCACGTATTAAATATTTGTCGAAGCTCACCTATAAATGTCTGTTGTCAATATTAATCCTGTCGCACAATATTCGGCTGTAAAAGTTTGATACACTTTCTGTTTGGGGCATTAGTTGTGGAGGTTTCAAAGTTGTTTGTTCTCTGTATTAATATTTGCTACTACTGCTTTTTTTCTGCTGATTTTGACCTTAACTTCAATATACTGGGCATGATGCCATTCCAAATGGCCATGTTGGTCTTAATGCCATTCAACGTCGCCATGCGAAAGTTTCCACTGGGGACGCAGTATCGGTTAGCAAGTATGATGGGTGTATTTTCTATGGATTATTATTTTGTCTTCAATATGTATTTTTTATTTATTTTTGACAATTTATTCTGAAATTTTTAGATTTATTCCTCCTGAAGATTTCAACCTTGCTTTGCTAACGTTGGAATTGGAGTTTGTGAAGAAAGGCGCAAAAGATGAAAATGTATGTTTCTTCTTTCAAGCTATTCTTTACTATCTTAAAATTTCTGGTCTTCCCTATAGCTCCAGGTTACTACTATAAGATTGTTTTTCAGTTGCGCTATTTGCTTTTTTTTTTTTTTCCTTTTTTTTTTCATATGGGGTTGGCTCTTGCTTATAGTGAAGTACTTTTCTTGTCTAATCAACTCCTATGTTTTTTTGCCCTATCTAGTTTTACAAATCTGTGTTGCAATGCAGGTAGACGCCGCCCTTCTATCCCAGCAGATTCGCAAGAGATTTATCAACCAGGTAAGAAATACATCATTGAGTCTAGTTGTATGTTTATAGCTGCTATGCTATGAATAGTCTTTCCATACTTCAAAGCTACAAGATTCAGTCTGTGCTTGAGGTTCCGCTATGGCTTGGGTAGTTTTTATGCCTATGGAGTCTGTTCATTCATTGACAAAGCTACAAGATTCAGTCTTCTGTCAGGATTTTATTTTGTTCATTTTTTCTCCCTTTTGAGTGGAACTCTGTTCTTGTGTTTCTTTACCAACAGGCTAGTACTTTAGCTCCCAGTCTGGTTTTGTATATCGTCTCAGATTGATCTACAGTCTTTAACTCTTCGATTTCTTCCCTTGGAACCTGAAGTCATGTAGGCAAACATTGCTTATAATGCAAAAAATGGTTTAGGACATTACTTTTGCTATTGACCATATAATGTGTTGTTTGATTCTGATTACAGAACCTTATTATAAATGAATTTTGATGAAAAAACTGTATAGAATCTTTTATTTTCATTTTTATTAATTTTGTTAAACAGGTCCAGATTTTGTCTAAAATCATTTGACACCTCAGATAGTAGTAATAGCATAACTTGTAAAAAGAATTCGTTTGTGTGGATCATCTTTCTATTAGCTGTTACCACTCTAAATCTCGCCTACGCACTTACACTAGCATATGAAAAAATTGAAGTCAATATATTATTGAAGAGAGAGCAAGTGTATATTTCGAGGTATCCATGCTTCTCTATGGTTGTCAAATGTCAATACTTGTTAGATTATTCTGAGACTTGTTCTTGTATATGCAGATTATGACAACTGGGCAGAGGGTAACATTTGAATATCATGGCAATGGATATATCTTCACTGTAACTCAAGCTACTATAGAGGGTCAAGAAAAAAGTAAGGGTATCGAGAGAGGGATGATATCAGCTGACACATACATTGTTTATGAAGCATCAAAGTCAAGTGGAATAAAGGTTTTTCTTTCTTGACATTTTTAGAAATATGTGGTGGTATATTGGTCTGGTATACTTTTGTGCTGCTGTATGTAATTGTCTCTTATCAAGTTCATATGAGTGATTCATGTTTTTACCGAGTTAATGCAGATTGTCAACCAGCGGGAAGCTACGAGCAGCAATATCTTCAAGAACAAAGAATTCAATCTTCAATCATTCGGTATAGGTGGTTTGAGTGCAGAGTTTGCTGATATATTTCGAAGAGCTTTTGCATCGAGGGTTTTCCCTGCACATGTGACCTCTAAGTAATGCTCATATTCGACATCCTTGTAGATTTTGACCTTCATCTCTTTTGTTTGTTTTATTTGGAAGTTAATCTCGACTGGGATGGGAAATTTTCCAACTTGTGGTTTCTTTTACTTTCTTATGTGGCTTTATGATTTTTAATGAACCCTTCATTTTAGACTTGGCATCAAGCATGTTAAAGGAATGCTGCTTTATGGACCTCCTGGTACTGGGAAGACTTTAATGGCTCGGCAAATCGGAACAATGTTGAACGGAAAGGAACCAAAGGTATGTGCACCAAAGTGTTCCGGGATAAGTTCTGCTAATTGTTGATTCTTGCTAATTGTTTGTAATTTTCATGAAAATGTTCTTTTATTTTCTTTATTCTGATTTCATTGGAAGTGCTTGGAAATAAAAGATGTATTTCTATGCATTTAAATACAACTGTTCTTGGAAACAAATAACGCAGTAAATCATAATGAGTGGTTAAATGACCAGAAGAAAGGAAAAGCATGTGAATTTATTAACTGTAGACCTTGACAGCCGCTAAGCTTCAAACGAGATCCTTACTTTTGTGTTGGGGTCTTCCAATCTGGAGTTGTAGACATATATCGCTTTCCCTAAATCTTAAGTTTTTTTCTTGTCTCATGTCAAACTGGTAGCTTTGTACATTAATTAACTCATTTGAATGCACCTATGTCAGGCGATTGAGACTTTAGTGTGGATATCTAATATAGATATCTCAAATTAATTGAAGAATAGATGGGTTTTCTGTAAACTTGACATTAGAACTTGCACTTTTGCCTGGCATATGCATCTGTCGATCTGGGGATATGTAAAATAGTCAAAAGTTTGCTCCTTCAGCCAATCTGAGTTGTTTAACTTTCTTATCGACTAATGATGAATCCAACTGTTTTTGGGTGTTCCTGTATTCTTTTACTTTATATTCACCTTGACGGTTTTGCGTTCCCTAAAAAATCACAGCTATCTATCTGAAATCTATTTGCTTTTGGGAGGCTTTCTGCCTCATTCTGCACTGTGTTTCTTCAGTTGACTGAACATAGTTGAATTACTATGATTAGGGTAGATATTAGTGTTATGTTTTGTTACTGCATTAGCTGTCCTCTTACGCATTTCTGAATGCGATCTATGACCTGGAATTTTAGATTGTAAATGGACCTGAAGTGTTGAGCAAATTTGTTGGAGAAACGGAGAAGAATGTGCGGGATCTATTTGCTGATGCTGAGAATGACCAAAGAGCAAACGGTAAGTTTCTTAACCAACCCTCATTAGCAGAGTTGGTACCTCCAACTCTCACCATGGTTACTAGAATCAAGCAATAGGGTTCGAATCCCGCCCTTCATTTACTTCTTCTGTTTACAGGATTTGAATTTTAGAAAGAAAAAAAAAAGTATAGTCTTCTTTTAATGGCAAAAAAGTCATGTTTGACATGTGTTAATGGCTTTTTTGTTTCTCGTCATCTTTCAGGTGATCAAAGCGAGTTGCATATCATAATTTTTGATGAAATTGATGCAATTTGCAAGGTAGGGATTCAAGAGAACTCATATTGAAATATCTCGTTATTCACCCTTTTATGCATAATGTCATTCTCTTTGTGGTCCTTGAGAATTGCTTCCACCTCTTTCATGCTGCTCCATATACTTGCTTATATTGCCTTAGGATAGTTAACTGTGATGCTTTTTGGGTCAAGATTGGTAATCAATTTGATGATTGAATTAAGTTTGAAATTTTAATATTTGAAAAGACTGCAATTTCAAGGACGTTGTTAAGTCAAATTTTGCATTCTCGTTTTGACAAGGTCCAGTTTTTTTTCTCATCACTGACTCTGTTCTGAAAGCAAGATGCCTATAGCTACGTTGTTCTTGTGCAGATTACATTGATTTTCTTCCAGATCATGTATGCTTATATTTTCCATGAGTTTGGTATTAAATACTTCATATCAGGATTTAACATTGTACTTATAAGATCAAGCGACGCACGGTTAATAGATTATTGTATTGTTAAAAAATGTTAGTATTGTTGCAGTTGTTGTTATTATTGTTGTTATTATTATTAGTATTTATTATTATTTATTATTATTATGCTTATTTTTATTATTATTATGCTTTTAACTCCTTTGGTATAAAATTCTCAGTCGAGAGGTTCAACTAGAGACGGGACTGGAGTACATGATAGTATTGTAAACCAACTCCTCACCAAGGTATGTATTGTTTTAGTTGAGGTTGTGGGGTGATAAAAGAATTCACTACATTCCATTGTTACTTGTTGCTGGTATATGCGATTGACTAACTCTGAATTGCATACTTTAGATAGATGGTGTGGAATCTCTGAATAATGTTTTGCTCATTGGAATGACGAACAGGAAAGATTTGCTGGATGAAGCTCTTTTGAGGTGCTAATATTGATTCTTTTTTCTGCTATAACAGTTGTTAATTGTATGAATCTTCTGTGTATAAAAAGCCCAGAAATCTCTAACAAAGTGATGCAGTGCAGTTATTAACATTTCCAAGTCTAAGAAAGTTATTGCTATATTTTAAAGGCGGTTCCTAATTTTTGGATTTTAGGCCTGGACGTCTGGAAGTTCAAGTCGAGATCAGCCTTCCTGATGAAAATGGTCGTTTGCAAATTCTTCAGATTCATACAAATAAGATGAAAGAAAGTTCTTTTCTTGCTCCAGATGTGAACTTGGAAGCGCTAGGTATGTGATTGGCATGCTGCCCATCTGTTAATATGTCTTTGCTAGTTTTAACTTCTTTTAACACTAGACAACAACGTGTTCCTAAATTTTTTGTCAAACCGAAAGGTTATGCATCTACTATATTTCTTGGAAGTATTTTTTTGCTCACATTTGGATATTCGATAGGCTACTATGCTATTTTAGTAGGTCAAGTAATTATTCTTGCTAAGAGAGTAAGACTTCTACATCTGTAGGTAAAAATATATACTGTTGGGAAGTTACATTTTACTTTTTCTTGGACAGTCAAAACAACTGCTGAGTCCTTCTGTTGATGAAAATATATGCTGTTGGAAAATTACATCTTACTTTTTCTTGGGTAGTCAGAACACATACGGTGCATAGACTTATCTTGGTTTTTCTTTTGTTTTTCTGTTTTTCTTGCCATGTATTTTCTATGAGCATTTATTAATTCCCAATTTATTTTATTTTTTTGTTATCATAGAAACAAGTTTTTTTTTCCTGTGGTGCGAAAATGTATGATCTGTTACATTTGCAAGTTGTGTTTGGTTTTACATGTATATTCGTCGTGTGCATTCTGTTATCTGACTACACTAAATTATTAACATAATTCATGAAGATAATCATTACACCTCTTTCTGGATGCAGCTGCTCGGACGAAAAATTTTAGTGGAGCAGAACTTGAAGGTGTCGTGAAAAGTGCAGTATCATATGCACTGAATAGGCAACTAAATATGGAAGATCTTACCAAACAAGTGGATGAGGAGAATATAAAAGTTGTTATGGATGATTTTTTGAATGCCCTTCATGAAGTTATTCCAGCATTTGGAGCTTCAACAGATGACCTTGAACGCTGCAGGTATGAATAGTTAGCTGATTAAGGCTAAGTTTGACGTAGGAATTTGAGATTAGAAGACATGTCTACTTCCTGGAAAAGAAAAAGAAGCACTCGAAATTCAAGGGGTGTGGGGGGATATTTTACCATATAAAACTTCTAGGTGGTATAGGATATCATAATAAAGAAAATATTAGATCGATAATTTCTATTCATATTTTCTCCATCAAGAGCAATTCAAAATGTTGTATATCGAGTAAATCATTCTTATTTTTCCTTTTCCCCCTTAATTTATCATCTTTCCGTTTATCCATCGTACTTTCTCTGTGTGTGTTCAGCTTTCTTAATGTGCTAGGTATGGCTTAAGTAAAAAGTTTATTCTAACATTATTAAGATGAAATGAAGGAATTGTAGTTAGTTGTGTGTGATGTACTAGAGAGACAAGAAACTAATTTGACTTGTAAATCATTCCCTTCTATGTTACATTTTGCCCTTATATACCCTTTTTATGGGCATGTGTGTGCTTTTTCTTTGTGGTGCTAACAGTTTGTGATCCACGTATCAGGTGTTTATTTACTTGGTTTACATTTATGAATAATAAGATATATATAGTTGCAAAAATTTCTCGAGCAGAAAACTTATAAACTAATGCTTCTTGCAGACTGAACGGAATCATGGAATGTGGTACCCGGCATGATCACATATACCAAAGAAGTATGCTGTTAGCAGAACAAGTTAAAGTTAGTCAAGGAAGTCCACTTGTTAGTTTCCTTCTGGAAGGCCCGAGTGGCAGGTAATTATGATGTGTGTTTTTTTTGATATATAAATTTGGTGTGTATATTGTTGCTTTATCAAAATTATGTTTTCTTGGACAGTGGTAAGACTGCGATGGCAGCAACAATTGGTATTGAAAGTGATTTCCCCTACGTCAAGATAGTAAGTAATTTAACTTTCTTCTTGGCAATGTCTTGATTTGTGAACATTTAGTTTTTGACCCTTCTGTTCGATTTTAACTGTTTCCCTCTTTGTCAAATCATTAGATATCCGCTGAAACAATGATTGGACTCAGTGAACCCACAAAATGTGCCCAGATTGTTAAGGTTATATACATTGACCTTTTATTGTGCTCATTTCCTTGGACCCTTTTTGTGGTCTTTGAGGAGCAGTTGTTTCTTGCTTCAAATATATCATAATATCCATCTACATACATAGTATGTGTATGCATACTTAAGATTGAGGAGCATTACATATTATGTTTTCGTTGGTAGGTATTTGAAGATGCATACAAATCACCACTAAGCGTAATTATCCTTGATGATATTGAAAGGTAACGTTTTGATGCTAGATGAACGATGCATATTTTATCATTTGGCGGTCTTCATACAGCCATCTCATCTGTATCGCCTTTTGCAGGTTATTGGAGTATGTTGCAATTGGGCCTCGCTTTTCAAATTTAATTTCTCAGACATTATTGGTGCTCCTGAAACGACTTCCTCCCAAGGTATTTTTCTTGATTCGTGCAAGACATTAATTAGGATTTACCTGAAGGGGTAGATGTAATGATGCTAATATTGTTCTGATGAAGATTGGATCTGAGTTACCTTGTATTAAATGGAGAAATTGAAAATTGAAACAATGCTTTGCACGATGCCTGTCATAGTGTATATAATATTTAGGGAAAAATTATGGTGCTCAAGTGTCGTGACTTCGCGCAATAAACGATCAAATTACAATGATGAGAAAACTTGACCGTTGTCAGCAAAGATGGAACTTCTGTCGACTGTAGTTCAAGAAACAAATCAATATGTTGCCCGTTTTCAGTTACATCGTTAAAGAGCAATGACTACTATGTATTAAATAACTGTGTTTTTAGATGACAGCAATAAATCCCTGGTTTGTTTTTTGTATTAGGCTGCACTCTTTAACAAGATTTCATGCGTCACCTTTTAGTATTATAATTAGAGAACAGACCGTGAAATATTTTAACATAGCGTGAAATGTTTTAATGTCGTATACCCAAATAAATGTGGAAAAAAAAATGAATTTAGAGATGATCTTATTATATCTAATTTCTCAGGGGAAAAAAATTCTTGTTATTGGGACAACAAGTGAAGTAAACTTCCTGGAGTCAGTTGGCATTCGAGATGCTTTCGCACTTACCTACCATGTTCCGACACTAAAGACCGAAGATGCCAAAAAGGTAATGTCAGCATTTGATGATGCAAACTATATATATATATATATATATATATATATATATATATATATATATATATATATATATATATATATATATATATATATATATATATATATATATATATATATATATATATATATATATTCATTCGTTTACATGGCAATGATGTTTTTTTACTTGCATTTGCTAACAAACATCCTAGATGAACACGGAAATTGTGAACCAATTTGGATCATTTTAGGCATGATATATGTATATATTATATATACATATATATGTAGCTGCTAAGTACTTTCGACAATCTAAATAAGCAATAATAATCTAAGCAACTGCCACCTACCATATATTGATATTTCCTTCCTCACAGGTGTTACAAAAGCTCAATGTTTTCTCGAATGATGATGTCGACGCCGCTGCTGAGGCATTAAATGATGTAAGTCTAAATCACCACACTTCAAAATCAAATAGAAGGTCGAAAATGGGGGTGACAATATAACCTAATAAATAGCTCCGAGTATGATATAAGATAATCTGATTACCATTTTTTTAATATTTTTAAATTACTCCAGATGCCCATCAAGAAGCTCTACATGGTGGTTGAAATGGCTGCTCAAGGTGAAAACGGTGGAAGTGCCGAAGCCATTTACTCTGGTAAAGAAAAGATCAACGTTGCGCACTTTTATGATTGCCTTCAGGATATGGTGCGTTATTAGTGCACGAACATTCGCATCTTGCTTCGTTGCAGGTTCTTTTTACACTTCTCTTTCGGGTTTCTTTCTTCACTGTTTTCTGTCCCGACATTTATGTATTGTTTTCTGTTCTGATCGTTAGAGAGAGGCATTTGGGGCTAGGTTTTAGCATTCGTTGAAAAACTAAAACTATTTAAAGTTCGTTTTTGGTAGTAAGTTGGTTTTTCATTGCTGTATTATTTGTATGATCATCGTTACGGTTCGCACACTTGTACTGAAAATTAATAGCAACTATTTTTTTGGATCGCGTGAACAAAATTTGATGAGATGTCTATGTTACGGATTGATTTTAATTTTTATTTTTTTCCGCACACATAATTGATCGATAATAAATCACGAGCCTCTAGCATCCTACCCAATGAAGGATTAGCGTTGATCGGTACTATATACAGGTCAATTAATTCTATGAAAACACGATCATAGAATACGATTTATGTCGAAAGACTTTATAACATTTGTATAAACTCGTGGTCTTTTGTAAGATGTCTTAATCAGGACAACCAAACATCATGTTAACAGTCTATAAGAATGCATGCTAGTTTTTTAATCATTCTCTTGAATTGCAAATATGGGTTCCGTATTGAAACGAGTTACTCCGAAAGAATCGAATTTTCCGTAAAACACGTAAATGTCTGAATAGGAAAAGCATTGGTGGTGAAGAAGTTGAAGAGGACAGCCACTAGTTGGTTGTATTCTTGAAGATAAAAAAGATAGAAGAATAAATATAAGGACTATGCTTTATTTGATAGTGAATTCACTTATAAGTATTTGAATTTGATTTCCTATAGATAAATTAATTGAAATTGATGTAGTGTCACTTAAATGGGTAGATTAAACAGGAATGCAATGATTGCTACTTCACGCGAGTAGATCATATAGGTAGAATTGTTGCCACGTAGAGAGCTGTGAAATGAACATGCAAAGGTAAACGTACGTAAACCAAGTGCCGGTTTATTGGACTGAAACCCCTCAAATGCTCAAGTCAGATGCATCGGCAAACAAATGAGTAACTCCCAAGAATTTGAGAGAACTCGGAGAATAATAACGCGTAACTTGTAAAAATGAGTTAAGAGGGATTTCTTGGTTAGTAGAACCTCGTTAGAGACCAACTCTAAGTGGAATTAAGGACTCTAATTGACTTGTACTATTAAATTAATGAAATCGACCAATTAACTTAATTATTTACAGATGAGTTGCGTTTTGTGCCATTGGCCTCATCTAATTTTTTATTTTTGACCCGAGCGACAAACAATAACAAACAAAAGAATTTGGCACATTTCGGAAATCATCTTAATTCATCGTGGATTGCCCACTACATAGTACATCTCGTGCGATTTGTGAATTACTGCACGAAAATAGAATTTATGCGATTCACATATATGGTTTTGCTAATTCCCAAATTTGTTCCTCTATTTACAAGTTCACAAGCAAATGACCAATTTTACTTGCTTTCTTTTTTTCTTTCTTTTTTTTTTAATTTGATAAAAAAAGAATATGACCAACTTATTTGCTTGCCAACTTTAACGAAATAGTGAATATGTAAAAGTTAAGGGCTTTTTGGTTTTGATGAAATGAGTCCAAAAGATGAAGCATCTAATAATTGTGGAAACTGAAAATGAAATTTGGGTTGGATGTGTTCGTCTTGTGAGATCCTACACCCGATGAAATACATCATGTGATTTCAAGCCGTAGATTTACATAAATAATTACCCACTAAGCACACATACACATGGATGTACGTGTTATTATGTGTAGATCAGTAGTGTAAAACTACACGGTGTGTATTTCAACAGGTATAGGTTCTACAAAATCGATGTGTTCTTGGGCGGCACGTTCAATGCGGATGTTCGGTTAACATTTTATTCTCGTTTGATTATATGAATCGAATTAATTCGGATTAAATACGAACCGGAATTTTAGTCAATTGCCTCAAAGGGGAAATAAAAAAGGTGGGAAAAGGTTCAAGATTCGTTGAGATTGATAATAATTCCGGTGACC